AAAGTTCTCCAGACAATCTCCCAGGAAACTTTGGATTTTTGGATTTTTGGATTTTTGGATTTTTGGATTCTGAAGATTTTTCACATTCGAGGTTCTGAGTTTTTTGACTTATAAGAGGGCGGCCATTCACATGTACCCTTGTCAGAATTTCAAAAACATCCAAAAGACTCAAAACGTGAATGAAAAATCCCAAGTAGCCTGCTCAAAGAGCCAATAAGATGTTGAAGTATCCTGCTCAAAAAGCGATTAGAAGCGTTCAAGAAAGTAGTAGGGCTTAGGTCCAGTCTCTGGCTGGTGAACTACTTGGAATCCTGTTCAAAAAACTAAAGCACTCGTATCACAAAGTAAGGGCTTTCATAAGAGATAACCTTTTCTAAACAGTAGGTGCTAGGATCCCAGAATGGTTCTTATTGAAGAAATGATAATTCAGCTTCTTTCAGATGCACAAAATTAGATATTGGCAAATATAGGCTTTCTTTGTTAAAGCCTCCTTAGCAAAGGCCTGTGCATAACACATGTACGTGTTTTTCTCAGTGATTTGAAAAACTAAGACTTTACATGGTTCTCATATACGGAAACAGTATAATCAAAACCTTCTAGAATATGCTATTTAATTCCATTTAATATCCTGTGAATTTAGTGTTCACGTTTCGAGTAGGACGCCATTGAAACTCTGATACTTATATACACGAGATACTTACAGGGGCTCCATATGCAAGAATATAAAATAAGAGTTCAACCGAACCTCATAGTATCCTCATAGCATGAAATGCGCGCCCTGGAAATGAATGCACACTTCACTTCCATACAGGAAGTCCCCGACCCTCGAGTGGACAGTGCACTAGCCGTATTTTGGGCCTAAGCCCTATTACTGTCTTGAACGCTTCTGTTCAGCCTCTTGTTGGCTGTTTGAGTAGGATATTTCGAAATCTCGTTGGTGTTGTGAGCAGGCTACTTAGGATTTTAACGATACAGTCTTCAATCGAGTACTTAGTTAAGACGTTAATCAGATTCGAGCAGGGTTTACTGCAATAATCAAAGGTGGGCAACTCAATATTAAGAGCCTGAATTAAAGAATCAGAAAACTAAAACACTCGTTATCGCAAAGTCAGGGTGTTCATGACATATAACCTTTCTTAAACAGCAGGTACTAGGATCCCAGAATGGTGGTTCTTGGAAAAAATGATAATTCAGCTTCTTTTAGATGCACAAAAGTAGATATTGGCAAATATGGGCTTTCTCTGCTAAAGCCTGCTTAGCAAAGCCCTGTGCATAACACACGTACGTGTTTACCTCAGTGATTTGAAAAGTAAGACTTGACATGGTTCTCAAATTCAGAAACTGTATAATCAAAACCATCTAGGATATGCCATTTAATGATATCCTGTGAATTTAGTGCTTAAATGGCCGCCCTCTTATAAGTCAAAAGAAAGGAGAACCTCGAATGTGAAAAATCTTCAAAATCCAAAAGCCCAAAAACCCAAAAATCCAAAAATCCAAAAATCCAAAAATCCAAAAATCCAAAAATCCAAAAATCCAAAAACCCAAAAATCCAAAAATCCAAAGTTTCCTAGGAGATTGTCTGGAGAACTTTGGATTTTTGGATTTTTGGATTTTTGGGTTTTTGGATTTTTGGATTTTTGAATTTTTGGGTTTTTGGATTTTTGTATTGGAAAAGCACATTCAAGAGGACAAATATTTGCAAAAATGTTCTGAAACTAGACAAAAGTGCAAAAAAGTGCAAAAAGTGCAAAAAAGTGCAAAAAGTGCAACAAAAAGCAGAAAAAAAAACACAAAAAAAACACATAACACACAAAAATGCACGACAAAAAGCACAAAAAAAGCACAGGAAGCACAAAAGCATAAAGAAGTAGACAGGGAAAGCATGGCAGGCTGCAGTGTCTCGAGAACCTTATACATGCTGATGTGGGTCCATTGGGGTTGGAGGTTGGTCCATTGGGGGGGGGCGACCATATATATATATATATATTCTGAAGACTTCGAGACAGTCTCTTAAACTTCAGGCTTGCTGGCTCTTAGATCTTGGGGGGGTGGCCCCACCTACTACTGCCATCCCAGTGTCTCGTTTAGGGAGGTGGAGAAGTTTCATAAGGAAGCCACTGTGTTGAGATCTCTAGAAATCCAGATGAAGGCTGGAAGCCTCGAGGTTCAGGGGGTTCTATCTTAAGCGTATGAGGCCTCTTGAGCTTATTCCCGATCGAGATCTGGCTCTTTAAAAACTCTACAGACCGAAACCTCTGGAGCGGTTTTCTGGCCAGCTCTGGTGAAGAAAACCTTCTCGGGGCAGTTCAACGTCTCAAGCAATCTGCAGCAACATGTATAAGATTAGTATGTTACATATGACACCGGCCCGAAACCTTCTGCTAGTTGAATATGCCCTTGGACCGGGATCCCCGGGCCCGCCGAGCATTGTAATGGTCACCCCCAATTTTGCAACCTTACGGTGTTTGATTTTCGGGTTTCGGGTGTTGTGGGGTAGGTACCATATCTTGAGCAGCTACCAAAAAATTTCCTTGGACTGCAGACATGCCTGAAACCCTGAACTTGCCTAAGCCCCAAACCCCCGAAACAGTGAACGAATACTGTTTTATCAATTTATGAACTGTCAACCTGTTTCTTTTCGGGCCATGTATTTAGGCTCCTGTCTTGATTACAGGCATCCGCCTTTCCACTTCGGGTTCAGACTACCTGCAGCAATCCTCGTTCCGCACCTTACACTCTGATGATTAGAGTCTAACCCCAACACCTTAACCCTCAAAGGCAACTGAAAAACCCAAAAACTCCAAATCCTTAAGCCTGCTACGAACACTGAAGGAGCCCTGGCCCTATAAGCTCGAATGCACCACCAGAACCCCTACAAACCTTAAAGAAACCCCAGCCCCCCATACCCAAAACCCCGCATCCTAAACCCTCCCCTGAGCCCTGACACCCCTAGCCCCGCCCCTAACCCTAAACCCTACACCCTACACCCGAAACCCGAAACCCGAAACCCTAAACCCTAAACCCTAAACCCTAAACCCTAAACCCTAAACCTTAAACCCTAACCCAAAACCCAAAACCCTAAACCCCACACGTCCCCACAGGACTGGGTACCGAGCGGGCTCGGTGCAGACGAGGCCTGCTGCCTTTGTGGTGGAGGTTCGACCACCCCTGCTGCCTGTGCTTACCAGGATTTTTGGGTTTAGCTGCCTATGGGGTTTAGGGTTTAGGGTTTAGGGTTTAGGGTTTAGGGTTTAGGGTTTAGGGTTCAGGGCTTGTATGTTTTAGGATCTATGTGGGGCCTATATGGGATTTGTACGGCCCAGCATGGTTTTTTTTTTGTGCAGGGAGGGTCAAGCTTCCGGCTGCTTCAACTAGGCATCCAGATAATTGATAAGTTGGCAAGTCGGCTTTGGAGTTTTTTGTGACTTAATCAGGGTTTCGGGTGTTAGGGCGTAGGGATGGTCGGAGTTTAGGGCCAGGGTCCCGAAAATCTCGAACATCTACAACCTTCCCCTGGCCCTAAACCCTAAACCCTAAACCCTAAATCCTAAACCCTCAATCCCCAAATCTTAGGGCCCAAGCACTCCAAGAGCTCTCCAAGGCTTTGCCTGCAACGGAGGACGAGTGCCCCACAGTGAACTGCCCTGCCAACTCCCACGGCTCTTCGGCCGAGGGTTTAGGATTGGTAGGGTTTAGGGTTTAGGGTTTAGGGTTTAGGGGTTAGGGGCTAGGGGTTAGGGGTTTATGGGTTTGGGGGTTTAGGGCTTCGGGTTTGCGATTTCGGGTTTAGGGTTCTGGGCAGGGTCTTTTTGGGTTTTGTTGCGAAGCTGCCTTGTGTCACACAGCCAGAATCATTAGAATTATGGAGTCTGCAAAGGCGGTGAAGGAAACAAGAAGAGAGGAGCTGCACGATTGTAAAGAGCTAGAGAAGTGCCACCAAGGCACTTGAGGGATTAAGGTTTGCCGTTTAGGGTTCATGTCTACGGTTGGATCCATGGGCTATATAAACCCTAAACCCTGAACCCAAAGCCCAAAAACCCTCAACCTAAACCCGAAGCCCGAAACCCTAAACCCTTGCCCTAGGGAGCTGAGGTAGGGCCCTTATTATGTACAGCGTATTGTAAGGGTTATAGGGTTTGCTATCCCAGTATATCGAAGGGTAGTTGCATGGTCTCTTAATAGGGTCCCTTACCTTCTTTCAAGGGGTTCTGAAGCATGGGGGGCCCTTGGGTTGTAATCGGGTATCTCTGAGGTATAGAAGGGGTCCCCGTTCCTGGGTTCCTCTGGGGTTGCGGTCCTGCAAGCACCCCCCCCCCCCCCAAAACGGAACCCTAAACCCTGTAGTTATACAAGTTTTCCTCTCCACCTAAACCCTAAACCCTATACTTTCTTTACAAGAATTTCCCCTAGAAAGCCCAAACCCTATCATTTCACAAGAATTCCCCTATAAAACCAAACCCCTAAACCCTGTACTTTTAGAAGATCCCCCAGACCCAATCATTTTACACAAACTTCTCCAAGTAATATAGGGGCCTGAATAATTGGAATAGAGTTTTGGGGGGTTATTGTTGTATAATCCTAAAGGGACCCTAGGACTACTGTTATGATTATTATTGTTATTGTTATCATCATTATTATTACTATATGTTTTCATTATTCTTCTTCCGACCCCTATATCATATCCCCAGGTCTGGGAGTTTTGCATGGCTGCATCTGCGATGCCGGGCACTCGGGAGTCATCTCACGATCGGATGAGTAGCTTGGCCCAAGAATAGTAAGAAAGGAATAAGAAGAAGAAAAGTAATCATAGTCAAAACAGGAATAAGAGTTATAACAGTAATAGTAAGAATCGGATTATGAGAGTGTCATTTGTTCTTATTCGCAAAAACGGCGCTAGCAGGAAGAACGCGACGGAAGGAGGTGAGGGAGCTCAAGGTTGAGGCCGCTCGGGTTTTGTGTTGTTGCGGAGATTTTCGGCGACGGATGCTGAGGTATCCCTACTTCACTGGAAGCTGTGCTGCTGTCCCGTGCCCGGAGCATTCTACCGGCTTCAGTGTGCCCTTTGGCTGCTCCTTCGCAGCATCAATGCGGAGTCCTGGTGCTCCACCCGAGGTAAGCTGCACTCACCAGTAACCGAAGCTTCAAGACCTGCTGGAATGAAGCACCTCCAACCCCCAAAAACACATGGGAGCTTCTGGGGTGGCATGGGCTGGAGAGGAACTGACAAAACAGACTTGATGGGTTGAAGAAGTGGCCTTCAACTATCTCCGTTGTCAGGGTTGAGTGTGTATAGGGCTTCTGGAGTAAGATCGCTTGAAGCAGGCCAGGCCACTTTAATTCCTCACAGGACAGCCATCCCCCCCATCCCCAGACCGAAACCGGCTCGTAAATGGGAAGTCGGGAACTAGGTACCTAGGGTTTAGGGTTTTGTGTTTATATATAACCCTTTGAGGTGAGTTTGAGGTGTTAGGGGTTCGTATGGGGTGCCGAGTTCCCTAGTTAGTTTCATTCCATACGAACCCGTCTAAACCCTAAACCCTAAACCCTAAACCCTAAACCCTAAACCCTAAACCCTAAACCTGTAACTACACCCAGGCACCTGCGTCAGTGGCTACCTCGGAGAGATCGAGGCTTCCCTGGAGGAGCCGTACTACACGGGCAGTTGCGAGGCCGCCCCGAGCACAACCTCCACCACAAGCACCAGGACCCTTCCCGGGATTAATGTTTAGAGTTTAGGGTTTAGGGTTTAGGGTTTATGGTGACATTTTCCCAAATTTGCAGAGTTTCGGGTCGTTTAGGGGTATACGTGGTATACCTCGACAGAATTGATGAGCCCGAGGACACAGAGCACTGTAACGACGTCAGCCGGCACAGAAACGACCACGACAAAGTCGGCGAGCACCACATGGCCATCCGAAAGTACCAGCACTTCCACGAGGAGTTCTAGCCGATTCACCACAACAGCCATCATCCTGCAAATGACACAGTCCAGCACAAGCGCCGACGAAACGGAGTTCTTGCCGTCAAGCACGACGCGTACAGCCACTTCGACTTCCACGGTGTCGACACGCAGCAGTTCCAGCACCACGGGCACTGAAACAACGACCTCGAGCAGCAGGAGCACGACTGAGAGACGCCAAACCAGTACCAGCGCAACCAGAACGGCCACTTCCACTGCAACTTCCTCCAAGGTGCTGACTCTCACAAGCACCACCAGTACCATCTCAACCATAACGGCCACTTCGACTTCCACGGTGTCGACACGCAACAGTTCCAGCATCACGGGCACTGAAACAACGACCTCGAGCAGCAGGAGCACGACTGGGAGAAGCCAAACCAGTACCAGCGCAACCAGAACGTCCACTTCCACTGCAACTTCCTCCAAGGTGCTGGCTCTCACAAGCACCACCAGTACCATCTCAACCATAACGGCCACTTCGACTTCCACGGTGTCGACACGCAGCAGTTCAAGCACCACGGGCTCTGAAACAACGACCTCGAGCAGCAGGAGCACGACTGGGAGAAGCCAAACCAGTACCAGCGCAACCAGAACGGCCACTTCCACTGCAACTTCCTCCAAGGTGCTGACTCTCACAAGCACCACCAGTGCCATCTCAACCATAACGGCCACTTCGACTTCCACGGTGTCGACACGCAGCAGTTCAAGCACCACGGGCACTGAAACAACGACCTCGAGCAGCACGAGCACGACTGGGAGAAGCCAAACCAGTACCAGCGCAACCAGAACGGCCACTTCCACTGCAACTTCCTCCAAGGTGCTGACTCTCACAAGCACCACCAGTACCATCTCAACCATAACGGCCACTTCGACTTCCACGGTGTCGACACGCAGCAGTTCCAGCACCACGGGCTCTGAAACAACGACCTCGAGCAGCAGGAGCACGACTGGGAGAAGCCAAACCAGTACCAGCGCAACCAGAACGGCCACTTCCACTGCAACTTCCTCCAAGGTGCTGACTCTCACAAGCACCACCAGTACCATCTCAACCATAACGGCCACTTCGACTTCCACGGTGTCGACAGTCAGCAGTTCCAGCACCACGGGCACTGAAACAACGACCTCGAGCAGCAGGAGCACGACTGAGAGAAGCCAAACCAGTACCAGCGCAACCAGAACGGCCACTTCCACTGCAACTTCCTCCAAGGTGCTGACTCTCACAAGCACCACCAGTACCATCTCAACCATAACGGCCACTTCGACTTCCACGGTGTCGACACGCAGCAGTTCAAGCACCACGGGCTCTGAAACAACGACCTCGAGCAGCAGGAGCACGACTGGGAGAAGCCAAACCAGTACCAGCGCAACCAGAACCGCCACTTCCACTGCAACTTCCTCCAGGGTGCTGACTCTCACAAGCACCACCAGTACCATCTCAACCATAACGGCCACTTCGACTTCCACAGTGTCGACACGCAGCAGTTCCAGCACCACGGGCTCTGAAACAACGACCTCGAGCAGCAGGAGCACGACTGGGAGAAGCCAAACCAGTACCAGCGCAACCAGAACGGCCACTTCCACTGCAACTTCCTCCAAGGTGCTGACTCTCACAAGCACCACCAGTACCATCTCAACCATAACGGCCACTTCGACTTCGACGGTGTCGACACGCAGCAGTTCCAGCACCACGGGCTCTGAAACAACGACCTCGAGCAGCAGGAGCACGACTGAGAGAAGCCAAACCAGTACCAGCGCAACCAGAACGTCCACTTCCACTGCAACTTCCTCCAAGGTGCTGGCTCTCACAAGCACCACCAGTACCATCTCAACCATAACGGCCACTTCGACTTCCACGGTGTCGACACACAGCAGTTCCAGCACCACGGGCTCTGAAACAACGACCTCGAGCAGCAGGAGCACGACTGGGAGAAGCCAAACCAGTACCAGCGCAACCAGAACGTCCACTTCCACTGCAACTTCCTCCGAGGTGTTGCCTCTCACAAGCACCACCAGTACCATCTCAACCATAACGGCCACTTCGACTTCCACGGTGTCGACACGCAGCAGTTCAAGCACCACGGGCTCTGAAACAACGACCTCGAGCAGCAGGAGCACGACCGAGAGAAGCCAAACCAGTACCAGCGCAACCAGAACGGCCACTTCCACTGCAACTTCCTCCAAGGTGCTGACTCTCACAAGCACCACCAGTACCATCTCAACCATAACGGCCACTTCGACTTCCACGGTGTCGACAGTCAGCAGTTCCAGCACCACGGGCACTGAAACAACGACCTCTAGCAGCAGGAGCACGACTGAGAGAAGCCAAACCAGTACTGCAACTTCCTCCGAGGTGTTGACTCTCACCAGCACCACCAGTACCATCCCAACCATAACGGCCACTTCGACTTCCACGGTGTCGACACGCAGCAGTTCCAGCACCACGGGCTCTGAAACAAAGACCTCGAGCAGCAGGAGCACGACTGAGAGAAGCCAAACCAGTACTGCAACTTCCTCCGAGGTGCTGACTCTCACAAGCACCACCAGTACCATCTCAACCAGAACGGCCACTTTGACTTCCACGGTTTTGACACGCAGCAGTTCCAGCACCACGGGCTCTGAAACGACGACCTCGAGCAGCAGGAGCACGACTGGGAGAAGCCAAACCAGTACCAGCGCAACCAGAACGTCCACTTCCACTGCAACTTCCTCCAAGGTGGTGGCTCTCACAAGCACCACCAGTACCATCTCAACCATAACGGCCACTTCGACTTCCACGGTGTCGACACGCAGCAGTTCCAGCACCACGGGCTCTGAAACAACGACCTCGAGCAGCAGGAGCGAGACTGAGAGAAGCCAAACCAGTACCAGCGCAACCAGAACGGCCACTTCCACTGCAACTTTCTCCAAGGTGCTGACTCTCACAAGCACCACCAGTACCATCTCAACCATAACGGCCACTTCGACTTCCACGGTGTCGACATTCAGCAGTTCCAGCACCACGGGCTCTGAAACAACGACCTCGAGCAGCAGGAGCACGACCGAGAGAAGCCAAACCAGTACCAGCGCAACCAGAACGGCCACTTCCTCCAAGGTGCTGACTCTCACAAGCACCACCAGTACCATCTCAACCATAACGGCCACTTTGACTTCCACGGTGTCGACACGCAGCAGTTCCAGCACCACGGGCTCTGAAACAACGACCTCGAGCAGCAGGAGCACGACTGGGAGAAGCCAAACAAGTACCAGGGCAACCAGAACGTCCACTTCCACTGCAACGTCCTCCAAGGTGCTGACTGTCACCAGCACCACCAGTACCATCTCAACCATAACGGCCACTTCGACTTCCACGGTGTCGACACGCAGCAGTTCCAGCACCACGGGCTCTGCAACAACGACCTCGAGCAGCAGGAGCACGACTGAGAGAAGCCAAACCAGTACTGCAACTTCCTCCGAGGTGTTGACTCTCACCAGCACCACCAGTACCGTCTCAACCATAACGGCCACTTCGACTTCGACGGTGTCGACACGCAGCAGTTCCAGCACCACGGGCTCTAAAACAACGACCTCGAGCAGCGGGAGCACGACTGAGAGAAGCCAAACCAGTACTGCAACTTCCTCCGAGGTGTTGACTCTCACCAGCACCACCAGTACCATCTCAACCACAACGGCCACTTCGACTTCCACGGTGTCGACACGCAGCAGTTCCAGCACCACGCGCTCTGAAACAACGATCTCGAGCAGCAGGAGCACAACTGAGAGAAGCCAAACCAGTACTGCAACTTCCTCCGAGGTGTTGACTCTCACCAGCACCACCAGTACCATCTCAACCATAACGGCCACTTCGACTTCCACGGTGTCGACACACAGCAGTTCCAGCACCACGGGCTCTGAAACAACGACCTCGAGCAGCAGGAGCACGACTGAGAGAAGCCAAACCAGTACCAGCTCAACCGGAACGGTCACTTCAACTTCCAGCAAGGTGTCGGTTCTCAGCAGTTCAAGCACCATGAGCTTTCAAGCAAGCACCTCCAGCGGTCGGTATGTTCATGCAAGAACGTCCCTCGCCCCAAGGGGGGCCGTCTCCATGGAGCCTTCTACTTTCACCAGTTCTTCGTCGACGTTTTCGGCCTCATCCACTTCGTCCCAGCTCATGCTTACGACAACTTCCCGCCGCTTTTGTGCGGTTTCATTCGGCTTTTAGGTGTCGCTGCTTGTGCAACCTGCACTAGGCCGCTTTCATGTCCACCCTGGAACAAGAATCCCTGAACCAAACCCTGAAGGCTGAACCCTAAACCCTGAAGGCTGAACCCTAAACCCTAAACACTAAACCCTGAACCCTAAATCCTGAACCCTAAACCCTAAAAGGCCATCTGATGTCCTCCACCAGCCCGTCCTCCACGTCCTCCACGACCTCGACCAGCTTCGTTCATGTCAAGGCTCGGGGAGCCGAGATCCCTAAACCCTAAACCCCAAACCCTAAACCCTAAACCCTAAACCCTAAACCCCTAAACCCTAAACCCTAAACCCTAAACCCTAAACCCTCAACCTAAACCCCTCAACCGATCCCTAAAGCCCATTGCGCCCGACTGCAAGTGCAGCCCTCAGCGCGACGAATCTTCAGCCCTACTCAGGCCTACCATAACCTATATCCTGAATTATTTGCATTTTTCTTTATTTAACACCTAAGATGATATTAAAAAGGTTCTAAGGGGAGTATCGTAACCTTGAACCGCCAGTTCACACCATGACCTGGATCCCGGCAGAACTTTCGACTGCACCAAGGAAGCTCCAACTCTAAGCCGGCCGCTTCTGAAACTTAGGAGGAAAGGTCATGGGGCGTCTGATGCCCAGTGGGCATTCGGAACCAGATAGGAACCCTTGAGCCCCACCCCAAGGGGTAAACGTGCCGAGCGTTTACTGGTATAACCAGCTGCAAGAAGACTGGAGGAAGCCTCTGGCGCTGCGTCTGCGACCGAAGATGACGGGGAGGAGTCCTTCCCTGGTATGGAGACATGGCTCGCATTAGTAGCCCAGCAAGTGCAGCGCCTGTGCAACTTCCTCTGGGCCGCAGAATGCACAGTGCCTTCTCGAATCGCACATGTTAGCTTTTGGTCTAAACTCCTTAAGCAAGTCGTTCTGCCTGTGGGGTTTATGGGGTTCTGAGCTGAGGCTTCATTCTAGTTCTCGTAAAGGACCGATAAGCCATAGCAACGGAAACTCTCAAGCCCAGAAAGCTTCAAAAGACGCTTGACAAGGCTTTTGGTGAGCCGCTTCTGCTTTTGGAGCCGTCAGCCCTGGGCCCCTTCCACCACTTGAGAAGCCCTGAACCCACAGTGATCATCCCCTAAACCCTAAACCCTAAACCCTAAACCCTAAACTCTAAACCCTATGTGCCAGAGGCAGATCATTGTTGCTACTAGCCAACTCTACGGACCCCGAGAAGGGGACCATCACTATCCTTCTACACTCAACCGGTAAACCCTAAACCCTAAACATCCCTTAAGTTGATCTGCATGAATTCCGTGTCAAAGTTCTTCTGTTCAGAAGCAGACTTCTGCACCATGCTCCAATTCAATATTAGGGCTGAGGGCCCTTCTACCGGGAAGACTATTTAGAACAGTACGAGTATCGATCTTGATGATGATGATGATGATGATGCTCATGCTGGTGATACTATGATGATGGTAAGAATAAATTTCTATGGTGCGAACAGTTAGTAGCATAGATCGTGGAAAATATGATTGCCGCCACAGCCACGTATCAAGCTACCTTCAAAAAGTGCCAGGCAGGCTTCGGAGCATCCCCCCCACCCCCCCCTCCACCCACGTTTTTCGGCAGTCTGATACTCCCGTGCCGTTCAAATCCTGCGCTTCACATCGTGCAGCAAACCATGCAGAGGTTGTTCCACAGCTCCTTGCACAGAGGACCCATTCGCCCGCCCACAGAAGGGACCCTGACTTAAGCCTACACCCTAAGCCCTAAACCCTAGACCCCAAACCCCAAAATCCAAACCCTAAACCCTAAACCCTACACTCTAACCTAAGCCCTAACCCCCCCATCCCCATGTAGAACTCGGCCCTGCCATGTCCGTGGAGAAGTGCCCCTTCCCTGGATGCAAAGAGCGTCCTGGATGATAGGTGTAGGGTTTAGGGTTTAGGGTTTAGGGTTTAGGGTTTAGGGTTTAGGGTTTGGGGTTTAGGGTTTTGGGTTTAGGGTTTAAGTTTTTGGGTTTAGGCTTTGGGCTTTAGGTTTTGTTGGGGAAGCTGAGGTCTTCGGTTTTCGGTGTTTGGGGCTCTTATCTTGTGCAGCTGAGGATAGAGGACTTCCTTGTAAAACATGGAGCAAGCCCTACCTAGACCCTATCCCCTAAGGATCCATGTACTTATCTAGTATATACTTGGGCCCTAAAGCTACTATATAGGAACCCCTTTAAGGCCCAAGTATATACTATATAGGTACATAGTAGGTACAAACTTAAAGAACCTTGCCGCCAACTGCCCAATCCTGCAGAGAGTCCCTGTTTCAGGCAAATCAATGCCAAAATTTCTTGGGGTGGCTACTGCAGTCCGAGATGCCGGCTGAAAGCCAAAAAGCCGACGTCGCAATGCGGGAACCAGCCGGAGCCTGCGGCGTCTGAAACCAAAGTGCTGGACGCGGAGCCTTCGCTTCCTAGTTCACTGAGTTCACCATCATGTGAGACCATTTCTTTCAACATAACGCCCATCTCGGGAGGTTACGTGGACAGCTTCACGGAAGCTGGTCTCAAGCAGTTGGCGCAGGCCCTTTGCTCGGATGCTGACGATCACGATCTGCCCGGCTCCGTGAACCACTCCTTCTCTGTGCCTCCCGCAGCGGTAGCGCATGACGTGTCCGAGGATGCTGAGCATGATGAGCCGCATGAGCCGCATGGCGAGCTGCAGGCAGGCAGCACGGACCTACAGCCGGCAGCTTCGCTAAGCTCTCGGCAGCAATTTGAGGTGAACATCCAGCCTGTGACTTTACTCAGTGAGGGGGCGGTCGAGTACAAGCCGAACTTCCGCAAGTTCGTTCTAGAGACTGACGAGGCTGACCCTTGCGAGCACTTCTTCGCAGGCGGGATGCAGGAATCAGAGGAGAAGCAGTGGGAGGAGGCAATCCGCCTGTACACAGGAGATTCCGTGTACTCCGAGATGAACAGGGCCCTGCGTGAGGATGACGAGGACGGCTTGAGAAGCTGGGCACTGCTCTGTGATGAGATGTTTCGTTTAATTTTTTCATTTGCTTTAAAGCTAAAGAATATGTTTATTCAAAAAGAATCCTGTTCAGAAGTACTTTTGATGGCTTTTAAACAGACCAGAACTCAGGAGTGTATGGCAGGTTAATCAATCTGACCATGCAGCCATTCCGTTACAGCGCCATGTATCCGAAGAGGCTCCTGCAGCCTCACGTAGGAACTGTTTGGCGAGGACTGGAAGTTTCCTTCAGAGTTGTTGTTTGCCGTGAGAAGCAAAGATATGACTGTGTATACATATACAGTTTACGGTAACCCCTAGAAGTTCTTGTGTGCGATATAAGGTTGGCTCTAACTTGTAGTGGGAATATGTCGAGAGAGGATGCGCGTTGCCAGATGATGTCCTAGCCCAGTACAAGGTGGGTGAGGTGATCGTCTGGGAGGCCTTCTCATCCACTACGACAGAAGAGGCCGTTTGCTTTGGCGGAGTAAAGTTCGAGATTCACTGTAGCAAGGCCTTGAAACATAGGATCCACGGAGGTATGTTACAGCAGGAATTCCTGGTGCCGGCTGAGATTCATGATCTATCGCAGTTTAAGGGAGAGATGGAGGTCCTGTACCCTCCATATACAACTTTCCGGATCGTGAGCAAAGTCACAGAGGCTGGCAGGCCTCTCGTCGTGCTGGAGACCACAGAGTTGCCAAGCTTGTTCATGCTGGTGGCACAGGGACGTTGGGATGAGGTACAGGAGGGCATCCAAGCTCGCCACGAGGGATCTACCGCGGACTCCCCTGCCTGGTTTACTCAACATGAAGATGCTTCCGAGTCTCTGATGTCCCAGGTTGCATCCAAGATTGAAGTTGAAGGAGGCACCTCAGGTGGTTTGGCCGTGGTTCAGCAGATGCACGGCCTCGGAGCCAATCCTACAGCTGCCCACGAGCAGCTGTTGCAAGCTGGCTTAGGCCCGGAGACACTGAAGCTTCCCGAGGCGCATCCGAAGTGGTTTTTTGATGCGTCCATAAAGAACGACGATGACAAGCAGATGAGCGAACGGGTGGAGGTGCACGATGGCCTCACATGGCAGCGTTACTACGCGAGGGAGTCTACATTGCTAGAACAGTGGTACACCAGCGGGCATGAAGGAGAGCTGGAATTCACAGTTGTCAACAACCTCGAGGAACATACTACATACGTGGTGTCTTACGATGCGGGCTGCATGTGGCAAAAGCCTTTGGGGAACACAATGATTGGACACCTGAGGCAAGTGTTGCGCCAAGCCTAGACTAGAACAGCCTAGAATCTGGTCGCACGATCTCAAAATCCGGCATCCTCAAAGGATTGCCAGGAGCACAGCAGCTCGAGTTTCAACAAGCCGCCTTTTGGTGCAGAAAGCTTGAACCCGAGGTCGGTTTAGGGTTTGGGGTTCAGGGTTTAGGGCTTAGGGTTTTGGGTTTAGTCAACCCTCTTACGCCCAGGATCTCCTCGCCAACTCATCCGGCCATGTGCCAAATCTGGTGATGGGCTTCACTCGCCAGCTTCTCCAGCAGGAGTTAGGGTTTAGGATTTAGGGTTTAGGGTTCAGGGTTTAGGGTTTAGGGTCTATTATTCAGGAGTCAGGTTTGCACAAGTTGTATTCTTCCGGGCTTCTTGAGGCGCGGGTTTGGAATCAGCTAGCAACGTTTGCCAGGGGTTTTCACAGGCCGCAAAAGGCCGCGAGGTTGCCCCAAACGCCAGAACCCCCCAAAACGGCAACCCTTGAAATTGCAACCCTAAAGTCATGGGGTTCTACTTTGGACCCCCAGGGTTACCCCCCCCCCCCCTGGGTTTGGGGACCCTAAGCTCCTCATTAGGGAATGCGAGGGCCAGTTTTGGAGTATACTAAGGAAGCGTCATAGGGGTACATCATCCCTAGGGTCGATAAACCCCAAGCGCCCCCCCTACGAACCCACACCGAAATTTCAGAACAGGCCCTAGAACTGCCCCTAAAACCCCTAAACCCGAAACCCTAATCCCTATAAACCCTAAACCCTGCACCCTGAACCCTAAACTCTAAACCCTAAACCCCAAAGCCTAAACCCTAAACCCTGAACCCTAAACCCTAAACCCTAAACCCTAAACTCCTCAGAAGCCCTAACAGCCCAACATCCCTTCCGTGCAAGTTCAGCTCAGGCTCTCCACCACCCACCAAGCGACCAACATGTACGCAGCACCTGGGGCTTAGGGTGTAGGGTTTTGGGTCTTGGGTTTGGGTTTAGGGTTTAGGGTTTTGGGAAAAATCCTCCTCCTTCGCAAGGTTTGTGGTCGAATACAGGGGTCGGAATAATTGCCAATAGTATTCCACTATGGTCCCTATATCAACTATAAGTATACTACAACAACTCCCCCCCCCCCCCCCCCCCCCTACCCCGAAACCCCAATCTAATTCTCAAGGCCCCTAACTTATGGGTTTGAGAGCCCAAAAGGTGACAAAGGGCCCTCGGCCCCCCTATTGCGCTAAACCCCAAACCCCAAACCCCAACCCCAAACCCCAAACCCTAAACCCTAATCCCTGAACCTACACATCAAAAGCGATCGGGGGAATAGGGCTGCACAGAATGGGCACAGCATGACCTCAGAAGGGCTTATAAGCCCTAAGACCCCCAAAAGCCCTGTTTAGGGTTTAGGGTTTAGGGTTTATAGGGTATAGGGTTTAGGGTTTAGGGTTTAGGGTTTAGGGTTTAGGGTTTAGGGTTTAGGGTTTAGGGCCCTGTATAACACCTATAATCCCTAAGCCCTGAAGCCCTAAAGCGGACGCAACCCTTAACATCCCGTACCCCCCTAAACCCTAAACCCTGACAGCCTTGCTTCAGCCCTCCGCTCTTTGAAACACTGGTGCCCTAAATGGGGACCAAAGAAAATTTAGACCCTAAGCCCTTAAAGCTCTAAAGCCCTGGAATTACCTGAAACCCTAGCCCGAAACCCTTAAAAAGCCCTACAGCCCTCAAACCAACCGCCCTAAGCCCCAAATCCCAAACCCTAAGCCCCAAACCCTCAACCTAAGCACGCAAACCCCAAGCCCTAAACAAACCCTAAACCCCAAATCCCAAGCCCTAAACCCTCAACCTAAGCCCGCAAACACTCATCCCGCAGCGTGACACTCGAGGCCTCGACTTTTGATCTGGCACCCTCGACTGTGCAAGGCCAGCTTGGACGTGTTTAGGGTTTAGTGTTTCGGGTTTAGGGTTTGGGGTTTAGGGTTTGGGGTTTGGGGTTTGGGGCTACAGGTTTTATCGTTAGGGTGACGGTCTAGAGTTTGCACTAATTATGGAGGTTAGGGCTTAGGAGCGTGGAGTGGTTGAAGATTACTAAACGTAGTTTAGGATTAGAGCATAGACACGGAGCAAGGGGGTCAGGTTAGACTCAACATGTTCAATTTTCAGCTTAGAGTGTTGAATTTCGAGACTAGGGTTTGGAGTTTCACAAAGTCGTTGCGCTACATGCACCTGCTTCTGAGCACTGCGCCCTACAGCTCTCACTAGCAAGATTTAGGTCTTGGGCTTCCTCTTTGTGGGGTTTAGACTTTTGGGGTTCCAGGGCTTTAGGTTTTGGGGGTTTCGGGTGTTCAGGGTTGCGCCACTGACCAATTCCGGTTCACTAAGAAGTTCGCTCTGATTTTCGTTCAAAGCTAATCCTGAACCTTCGCTCACTAAGCTCAACTCGACAACGGCCCTTCAAGCCCACAACCCCCTCTAGAGAAGCTTCGCATCTCAAACCTCGTATGGGCTGCCCTGAACCCGAAACCCTACACCCTTGTAGAGTTTCGGGTTCCGGGCTCCGGGGTCCTGGGCTTGGGGACTGAGACAGGGGAGCGCGACCACTCCTCCTTCTTGGTCGTGGTGCTGCTTATCCTCATGCCCGTCCTGGCTTCCCGCCCCAAGTGAAGGGGGGGGCAAGGGTTTAGGGTTTAGGGTTTAGGGTTTAGGGTTTAGGGTTTAGGGTTTAGGGTTTAGGGCATTTGGCACCCAAAACACTCGGGCTTATGGTTTGGGGAGTACTGTTTACGATGAGGAGTCTGAGAACTGCACCCTGCAGCGCTTAAAGTAGGGGCTTGAAAGGTCTGTGTTGACAGCACTCCTCGCCACAAACCCCCACGAATGCTTAGGGTTTAGGGTTTAGGGTTTAGGGTTTAGGGTTTAGGGTTTAGGGTTTAGGGTTTAGGGTTTAGGGTTTAATTAGGGTTTAGGGTTTAGGGTTAGGGTTTAGGGACAGCTGTTTTTGCTTTGGCTTATGGATCTGTAGCTCAGATGTTGGCTGTTCTGGGAGCTTCCCATCCCTTTTGAACCTCTTCCCGTGGATGTTTTAAGTTTCAAGGGACAATAGGTAGGTCTCCTCTGGCCAGTTGAGTTGGACCCTTGAAGCTTGAACCCAAACCCTTGTGGGTTTCAAGAGCCATCGTCCTTCATACGCATTCCAGCGATCTCACAGGATCAAACCCAAAACCCTGACCAGAAACTCCTAACACCCAAAAGAACCCATGTAAAGCATCATAAGGGCTGAGTTTTTTTTCCGTGGCACCTTCGACACGAAGACCACAGCGACTCCCTAAACCCTAAACCCTAAACCCTAAACCCCAAACCCCAAACCCCAAACCCCAAACCCTAAACCCTAAACCCTAAACCCTAAACCCTAAACCCTAAACCCTAAACCCCAAACCCTAAACCCCAAACCCTTAAACCCTAAACCTCGAGGCGTGCCTCTGTACCGCGTGTGTCAAGCAGCGGTGGCTCTCCCTGCCAAAGCCCCTGAAGGCTGTGGGGAGGGCTCCAGGGAAGAACATCATTGATGATTAGGGGTTCTTAAGAACCCCATCTAATGAGGCCCTAAACCCTAAACTTCATTGAGGATCGAATTTAGGGTGTTTGGAACTTCATCAGCGTCACAGACGAGCCTCTGACTTCCAGAGCTGAGCTGAGCAAGCTTCGGGTTCAGGGTTTAGGCTCAGGGGCTCAGGTCGCCATCTTCTACCAGGTAACAACACAACTCAGAAGTGAGGAGGCATTATCATTCTTGTGCTGCCGTTTGTTTTGTGAAGGTTCTGACTTTCCGGCAGAGAGTTCGTCATCGGAGTTAAGAAGTGACATAGAGGGCAGGAGTTACCGGCAGCATGTTCACAAGCTATGACGACTTCTGTCGGGCACATGGGTTGCGTCGCCTGCAAGTCCCCAAATCCCCGTGCCCCACCCACCTGCCTCCAACAAAAGTTAAGGCCGGCCAAGCTTTCATCAATCCAAAATACCCCGAACTCTTGCATTGCCCATAAGCCCTCATTTCCAGGGGACTTTGGAGACCGAGAATTGTAGAACATCTGTAAATCTGGCATCCCCTCACTCGACCCAGGCGTCTCAGGTGTGGCCGAGTCCGGAGCCTTTGTCTCCGCCAAGACACATCCCTCAGGCAGCGCCGTGGGTTGGGTTTGGGATTCAGGTGTTTGTTAGCACTTTTTGGCTTTTGTTAGTGTTTTGTGGCTATTGTTGCAATTCGGTCCTGCAAGAATGTGGTTGGATCTTAGCGTGTTTGGGATCTTTGTGCTTGGATAAAGCTTCTTACGGCATTTCGGCTACACTCCAAGGCCCGACATCACTCATCCCGACGACTGATCCCATGTTTGTCTGTTCTCCAGCTGCTAGCAACTGTTATTATTTGGAGATTCATATATATATATATATATACACATACAAATATATTTTTGATGTTTCCTTTATCTGTTGATGTAGCTTTCTACTTTTTTTTTTTTTTTTATGAATGTGGTGTATGACGAATAATACATTCATATACATACAGATATACATATATTAGTATGTATAGGGGGGATAATGACAGTGCCTGTTGTAGCAGCGTGACAGGTCGAAGACGCTGACGCCCCTCAAAGTGTTGCCGTTACTGTGCGAGCAGCTGTGCGATGAGACGGGACTGTCGCCCGACAAATTCTTCTTACTTGACCCTAAACCCTAAACCCTAAACCTTAAACCTAAAGCCCATACCCTTAACCATAAAAAGAACTTAAAACCCGGAACCTACACCCTCTGCCCTAAACCCTAAAACCCATGATGATCACTGTTCCCTAAAAGTTTCGGGCACGACGTTGGCAGAATACCCTGGTGATGAGGGATTGTTGCAGGGTATAGGGTTTTGAGGGTTTTGGGTTTAGGGTAGATGGCCGCAAGTGACACTCTTTACACCGAAGTGTGTCAAGTCGCTCTGAGCTTTCTGTCGCCGTAGTACTTTTGACCCAGACACCCTGGAGCATATGGTTTAGGATTTGGAGTTTAGGGTGCTAGCAGCATTCTGTAAATTGGCACGACAAACGAAGCCATGTTTGGGGAGGCTTCAGAGCCGTGGGCTTTGGGCAGTACCTAATTGAAGGGTCGTAGCGATGTTTGCAATCCCCCAACTCCCAGCCCTTGAGCCACTGAGGATCAAGGATTTTTCCTCTCCTTCCGTGCTCTCGGTGCCTTGGACAAGAACTGCTGCGCCTCACTGGGCGTTGGTCGGGTTCATGGCCAGGCTCGGGGGTCAACTTGTTTTGGGGTCTGGGGTTGCCGGGGCTTGGGGCTGCTTTTTTGCATGACGCTGTAGCAGACTTTAATATGAAAGATGTAGTATCGTGCAGTATGTATCAGAACAATAAAGATCATAGAAAACATAACATCAATGTCATAAAGCTCTCGGGAAAGAAGCGCAGCTGGCCCAGAAAGCCTGGCCCTGCCGTACATTCTGAATCCCCGCTTTTGAAGCCCCGTCCCTCAACCCAAACTCTGTAGTTTACGAACTCTCTCTCTCTCTCTCGCTTCTCGGTCTTGGGTTCAGGAACCCCTTGAACCCTGAACCTGAAACCCGAAAAGCCCTGCACCCTTAAGGTCCAAGGGTTTAGACTGATGCTTCTCTCTACGGGTGTGTGTGTGTGTGTGTCTCCCACAGTTTGGATCTTCTTCCAGCCGGTTTGGGTTTAGGGTTTTGGGTTTAGGGTTTATGGTTTTGGGGTTGGGATGGGTCTTGCAAGTTGTCGTCTCCATAATTCCTTGCGTAGGCATCCCACGTTTGAAGCTTCTGAAGGCTCGTCAAGGCCGTGCCCTGAAGTCCCAAGCCCCCTCGAATCCTTGCAGGCTTAGAAGCTGTTGCTGTCAGCTCTCTGCAATTTAAAACCCTAAACCCCTAAACCCCCAAACCCATCCCTCTAAAGCCCTAAACCTAAACACTATATAGACACCATAAACCCCAAAGGCCCCTCACGAGGCCCGCCAACGGCCACTGGATCGGGCTGTTTCGCTGACCGGGCCGGCTGCCTGCACACCTCCTCTCCGTTGGTGCTCAAAGGCCGCTGCGAGTATCAGATGGAGGCTCCAAGGACCCTTGCAATACATTTTGGGCTCAGGGTTTCGGGCTGAGGTGCAGAGGGTTGTGGAGGAAGATTGAGGGCGGAAACGACTCTTAGCTCAGGCAAGAGCATGGCATGTCCGCAAGGACTTGGGAGAACATGCCACAGTGGACCGCTTTCGGCTGCAAGGGCCGAGGAGCTTGGAGAAAGGGCCACACTGGGTGTCCCAGAAGAAGCGGTTGGGTTCGACTCTTTGCTGTTGTGGAGCGATGGAGGCTTTCCGGGCTGAATTCCAGACGGCCGGACATCAGATCGCAAAATCTGCTTGTATGCATATGGTTGCTATGGTTGCTGCAAGGGCTGAAGTTCTGGCAGATGCGAAGACTGAAAGCTGACGGAGGCCGGGGCGAGGGCACGTACCTACTTCGTGCCAGCTATATTTTGTATAGCTTTGGGAAGACTGGCTTCGGTGCCAGGAGAAACTGAGAGCCGAACCGAATGGCGTCGGTAGGATGCCAAGAATGCAGTCGACGCAGCGAGGACCTGCAAAGCTGACCGCGACCTTTTGCAGCAGGCTGCTGCGTAGTTGCAGGCGCTGCAATGGGTTGCTAGCCTCTCGCGACCGCGCGCGTGGTTCTTTGGCGGATTCGTGCTGGCAGATGCATCAGCTCAGATGCCCTGCGCATCATCACAGAGGTGACCAAACGATCTGTCGAAGCAAGGTGTTGGTGATGCTGGCTGGGTCAATGGGCCCGCGAGCTCCATAAGGACGCCCCAAACCCTACCCTGCACCCCTAACCCCGACTCTAGCAAACCAACATTCTACTGTATCTTCAGTATACGTCATGCAGACTTGTATGAAGCCATATCAGATTTCATCTTAATCTCTTGTCTGATCCGAAAAATACGGGGGCGTCCTTGTTATTTGATCTGCCCGGCACAAGTATCCGGGAGTTAAGGTCTGTACCATATTGTGGCGGTCTGTCTGTCAGTTGGTTGCGTTTAGGCGCTGACTCTCGAAGGGCTTAGAAAAAGTAGACGTTTCACGGGGAAAGGTTTAGGGTATATGGTTCAGGGTCTAGGGAGTCCGCGGTTGTGTGTTTCGCTTAGCAGAGGTTGCACCGACGATGACAGAATTCCGCGGTGGATCTTCCACCTGAAACGGAGTTAATGCGCAAACCAGGCCAAAGGTACGCTTGCTTTTGGGTATTGTTCCAAACCGAGGCACGCTCGGGACATGCCCATTTCTCGACACGTGCCAAAGTGCACAGCCAACACACACTGAAGAGGAGCAGAAGCAGACAATCTAAGTTAGGGTTTATGGTTTAGGGTTTAGGGTTTAGGGTTTAGGGTTTGTACAGGGCAATGCCTTATTAGCCCCAAACTCTCAAGCCCCGACCCAACTATTTTACTCCGAGGCTGAAGATGTGAGCAACCCAGGAAGAACGACAGCTGCACCGCAGCTAATCAGCGGCGATGATGGGGACTAGCTTTATTGTGTTAAGGCCTTTAAAGATTCTTAGGACCCAGAAGGCCTTAACTCTGAACCCTCATCGCGATGAGTCAGCAGAAGTCTTATTTAAACCCCTCGAAGGCCCTAGAAGCTCCAGTTTTCTGGGCTGCTCGGGTCAAAGGCTTCGGGGGGTTTTGGGTGTCGAGCGCTTCGGAGGGGCACAGTTGTGAGGTTACAGTTGTGAGGTTACAGTTCAAAGCTTCCCGTTATTTTACCCAAAACCCCTTAGTAGCCTAGCGCTACCCTTTGCCCTTTTCTTGGTTCTAGGGTCCTTATAAAAGTAACCAACCGAAGAGAGGGTGCCCTTAGTATAATATGGTTACTGGCACTAAGACCCCACACAACTGCCAACTCAGCCGAGTTTGGTTCGAAGAATCTGGGTCTCGGAAAGCCCGGATAGCCATGGACCGCTTGTTGCCTTCGGCACCTGCGAGCGCCCCACCACAGCCGCTGCGTGGCCTGGCTCGTTTTGCACTTTCTTTTTTTGTTGGTGGGTGGGTGGGTGGGTGGGTGGGCGGGGGTCTGGGGGTCTGGGTGTCTGGGTGTCGGGGTGTCTCTGAGTGTCTGGGCGTCTGGGTATCTGGGAGTCTGGGCGTGTGGGGGTGGGGTGTGGGGTGGGTGGTCGGGGGTGTGGGTCTGGGTGTGGGTGTGGGTGCGGGTGTGGGTTTGGCGGGTGGGGGGTGGAGGCAGGTGGGTGGATGCCGGGTCCGTCTCAGTTCATAAGCATGGAACCCCAAATCTTCAGCCCTGAATGAAGCGCCGAAGCCAAGCAGTAGCCTTGAAGAGCCACTTGCCACAGTGCGTCGTTGTCCCACCCTACACTCTGTCGGTGGGTGGGTGATGGGGTGGGCGGTGGTCGCTTGCACGCATGTGTACATCAACTTCTTCGTTAAGTCTTAAACCTACACGAATCTTGAACTCTCAACCCTAGCCTTCCGAATTTCTGCTGGAATTTTCTGCATCAGCCCAAAATTTCCAGGAGATAGAGTTAGGGTTTATGTATAAAGCTTCTAGTGCTTTAAAAGGTGGCTAGGGTTTGGGGTTGCAGCACAAATCAGGATCCGTCGGCGCTGTCGTGGACCGCAGGCAAGGGCACAGGAAGCGGTTCTTTCTGGGATGAGCCCTTTGTAGAGCACAGCCTACCCATTCTAAGCAACATCAGAGCAGTACTGATGTATGCCCAAGCGCTTCCCATAGAAACGAGCTGCCGTTCATGTTCTTTACCCGCTTTGAGAGTGCGTTTTCATTCTTTTGGGGAGTGGGTGTGCATGTTACCCCGAAACCCTAAACCCTAAACCCTAAACCCTGAACCCTAAACCCTAAACCCTAAACCCTTGTAGAGCTATTAAGGCTTCCGGGGTGCTAAGGCTTAGTAGGGCTTGGGCTTGGTTGCAGGGTCAGCGTTTCGTGCTCGTATCCTTCAGAACAATGACGATGCCTAGTTAGATTAAGAAGGTTCTGTGTCTCTCGCCGCTATGCACAAACGGCTTCACCAGGTGTTTCGTTATCTTTTTTTGGGCATACCGGTTGTTCAACGGATCCTCAGAAGTAGAGTCGAAAGGAGGGGCAGTTGCGTTCTAAGCGCCTGTAGGGGTATACGATACATGCCGTCAAAAAGGTTGGGCTTAGCCCCGCTAAGCTTGTGGAGGTCGTGCCCGAGGCAGAACACGGGACCGTACATAATTGACAGTGTTCTCCTCAGAATATAGTTAAAGTAGCCAAGAATACACCTTCTCCTCGAACTGCGTCCACGAATTATGAAAAATCCCAGATGTGTGATGAGTATGGCCCTACTCAGTAGCCGAATCGGGTTTATGAGCTTAGGGTTTAGAACGCTTAGTGCTGAGCGCACCAGGTGCCTGCTAAAACACAAGCCCCTAAACCCTAATCCCTTACACCCATTCCCTGAACCCTAAACCCTAAACCCAAACTGAACCCGATAGGGCACCCATGTCGCAGTAGTGCCGTTGTTGAACTTGGCAGCTATTTGAGAGGTAGACGTGGGGAGAAGAGACAAGGTTTTGGCCCACACCCTACGCCGCTACGCCTCCAATCTTGTCGCACAACCCTACGCCCTCTACCCCCTCCAACAGCCAAACTCACCAACTTCAGAGGTCCCAGGCCCGAACAACCCGAAACCCCCTATGAAACAACCCTAAACCCCAAACCCTAAACATCCCTACTGCAACATGCGCTGTGCTTGGCTATGGCTGGTCGCCCTCTTCGCGGAGCGAAGCTGGAGTCAGCCTGTGCTCTCAGCGGACAAATGGAGTGGATGCGGTGAGGTGGCTGGGCACAGAGCATCTTCCGGAGCCTAAACAGTTAGAGTGGGGTACTCTGGGCCGTTGTTATCGTTTAGAAGGGGGATACGGGTGATTCTTTCAGATTTTGGCTCCCAAGTTGGGGTTTGGGGTCCAGGGCTCGAGGGTGAGAACAGTTTCCGGGTAGCTAGCGACATCTACTAATTGCTTAAGAATCCCGAAAAAATAAGAAGTATTCTTCCTTATCAAGGGAAATATAGGGATTCTTGGTTTTTTTCTTCCTTGGGGGTCTTAAGCAAATAGTAGACATCTGTAGCATCCAGAAGCGCCAGCGCCGCGGTTCCTGAAGCCAGAGACGCCAGCTGTCCTTCCAGAATACAGGGGCCTTCAGAATCAGCATGGGGTTTTTGGGGTTCTTTTTTTCAAAAGCTTTATAAAGAGGCCATAAGGGAGTACTATTGAATGGCTAATCCGACCCCTGTATTACCCTTTTCTTCCTGATTTTGGGTTAGTGGGATCGTCCTGCAAGGTGGTCGCTGATGCGCCCCTGTCATTTTTTCAGCCCTGCGCGACGTCAGAGTGGGAAGTCCTACTGACCGACACCTTCACTAGCCTCAGGCACGGTTTATGGGGATGAGTGCGCTTTGGTGCATGGTGCTCCCCGGGGGCTTCCAAAAGGTCCAGGGTGTAGGAGGGTTTAGGGTTAATCCGAGCACCTGTTTAATTGGGGGGCCCCCCACCCCCCCCCCCCCACAGCAATAAGAAAGGCCGGGTTCCGCAATAGTAAGACCAGGGTCCTGTATTGATTCTCCATAACACCAATAGGCCGCAGATCCCTGAGGTGCTGTAGCTTCGCAGCTCAGCAAGCAAAACAAGAAGCCTGCCGACAGATTTTGGAACACCCTCGAAACCATTTTCTTTAAATGTGGTGGTATTGGCCCATACGAAATCCACCGTAATGGAAAGTAGTCTTCCGGCGGGCTTCTCGGCGAAAAACAATTCTTCAAATGTGGGAGGATTAATAAAACAGGTGCTCGGATTAGGGTTTTGGGTTTAGGGTTTAGGGTCTAGGGTTTAGGGTTTAGGGGTTTGGGGGTTACGGGTTAGGGGTTAGGGATCTATCAGGTGAAGGAAGGACTTGGGTGGTTTGGGGGGGGTAAGGTTTGGGTCAGGATGTGGGTTTCCACAAGCACGCTGCAACATCCTAAGACTGCAACTCAACCCGGGCCAACCTCTTCCAGGACCCCGAAATCCAGCGCACATGTAAAATGCCGATCCTTGAGCATGGGTTTTGAGAGATCTGTAGGTCCTCCTAAACCCTAAACCCTAAACCTTAATCCTAAACCCTAAACCCTAAACCCTAAACCCTAAACCCTAAACCCTAAACCCTAAACCCCTGTACGTAACCAAACATCCGAGCAAGTGAATTGTACACGCCAGCTCAGCTGGATGTCTCTGAAGCCGAAGGAGGCGCTGTGGACGGAAACCCAATGAGCCTTCTGTTCAAAGCCTAGAACTTTAGGATTTAGGGTTTAGGGTTTATGGTTTGGGGTTTAGGGTTTAAACACTACAAGGAGCCCCTATAAATCCCGCAAATCTTTTCAACACACTAGCCCCTTTTAGCCCCTAAGGCGACGTAATCTTCAAACTGTAAGCTGCCCTACCCCAACCTAGTCCTCCCCCCATGTCCACCCTGAACCCTAAACCCTAAACCCCACAGGCTGGCGCGGAATGTGTCGGCATTGCTCTGGCTTCCCAAGTCTGACAACGCGCAGGGTTGTGGGGTGCACCCAGAAGACCACTTCAAAGGAAGAGCCTCGGTCCTTAGGTTTATATAGGGTTTGCAGGGTTGAGGGGTTCTTGAAGGGTTGATAAGAATTATATATAGGGTCTATGCGTGCAGGGTTTGTGGTTTTCGGATCTGTGGGGCTGAGAGAGATAGGGCTGGCAGAGGGGTTTTTGTGGGTTTATCTGGGGTTTCAAGCTTAAAGCCCTGGAAGGTTCAAAGGGTTTATAGTGTTTGAGGGAAATGGAGGGTTTAGGGTTGAAAAGCCTTAATTAGGACTAGTCATAATCAAGGGGTTTAAGGTTCAATCAAGCAGTGCAGAAGCACCACAGCAGGTTTCCAGACTACACCCTGCCCAAACCCTGCACCCCGTTTTGGACCTTGAAAGTTGAAATCCCTAAACCCTAAACCCTAAACCCTTAACCCTTAACCCCCAACCCCAAACCCCAAACCGCACCCTCGGCATCCCATTTCTCAAAGCCTCAAACACTGAGGAATTGCGCTCCTGCAGAGGGGGGGATGCTACTTCTCCTGGAAAACCGTCCTGGCCGAGGAGGGGTTTAGGGTATTGAGGGTTTAGGGGTTTAGGGTTTAGGGTTTAGGGATTTTAGGGTTTAAAGTTTAGGGGTTTTGGGGGGTTTAGGGTTCAGGCACGTTTCGTTGAGCTTCGTGCTGTCACAAATAGGAGGGGCACCTTTGCCCCCTGGAACTTCTCCGCTTCTCCAGGGCCATGCAAACCTGATCCACCCACAGGACTCTAGGAAACGACAGAAAGAGCCTGAACTACCCTAAACCCGAGAACCGAAACCCTAAACCCTGAACCCCAAACCCTCTACGCCCTGAACGAAATCTACCTGCGAAGTGCGGCCCGTAAGCCCCCGACTCCTGACCTTGCTTCCTGTCATATTGCAGAAAGGTACTCGTGCCTATTATAGGGGTTTGTGGGGTTTATAGGGTTTATAGGGTGTATAGGGCCTAAACCCTAAACGCTAAACCCTAAACCCTAAACCGCAGGGTTTACAGAGTTTATAGGGTTTGTAGGGTTTATACCTTTCCGGGAGCAACTCCAGGGCTCTAGGCTTCTTTGCCGGAGGAAGCGGGGGCCTTAGCCGTGATTATGTACGACACCACGGCGCCTCGCCTGCACGTGCGTGTGTCGGCTCGGATCTGCTTTCAGGGCTTGTGGAGGGTCGAGGGTTTAGGGTTTAGGGTTTAGGTTTGGGATGGTTCCGCTTATACTAACAGTGCTTAACAGTAATAGGGATTATAGTCCCCCCCCCCCCCCCTATGATAATCCCTATCAAAGACTGCTCGCACAAGGGGGAACATCCCAACCTAAACTATATAATCCATGCAGCCCCATACCCCCCGAAAGCCCCATGAACCCGACAAGCCCTACAAGCCCCATGAACTCGACTGCTATCATCCCAAGAAATCCTGCAAGCCCTATGAACCCTCCAAGCCCGATAAACCCTACAAACCCTACAAACCCTAAGATCAACCCTATAAATCATATGAGCGCTACAAACCCTACGGGCCCTGCAAACCCTATAAACCCTAATCTCAACCCTATAAGTCATATAAACCCTACAAACCCTATAAGCCTGCAAACCCTACAAACCCTAATCTCAACCCTGCCCTGTAAACCCTATAAACCCTACAAGCCCGAATCCCATCGCTGCCGCGGCCTCTCTCTAGCCGTTGCCCAAGGAGGAGCAGTCGACAGCCGTCCTGGCCATTGCGGGGCCTTTTCAAAATCCCAGGAGCCACAGTTTAAGGTTTAGGGTTTAGGGTTTAGGGTTTAGGGTTTAGGGTTTAGGGTTGGTGTGCTGCACAAGCCTTCAATACGGTTTTGGGATGAGGGTTTGGGGTTAGGTCAGCCAGCAACATGAGCAAAGACCCTCGATTTCATCGCTGCATCGGTTGAAGAAACTGGGCTTCCTGAACATCCTGGGCTTGAACACAGTAGACCCGATGTACCAAGCTCATGGGGTTGAGGCTACCCCAAACCCGAAACCCCAAACCCAAAACCCTAAACCCTAAACCCTAAGCCCTAAACCCTAAACCCTAAACTCTAAACCCTAAACTCTAAACTCTAAACCCAACAAGAACTTACAGGATATGAGAGGGTCCTTTTGAGCAGAGGATGGTTGCAGAGGGGCCGGCGCCTAAAACCCCGAAGCCCGAAAGTCCCGAAAGCTCCCCACAGCCTACCCTAAACCTAAACCTTAAACCCTAAACCCTAAACCCTAAACCCTAAACCCTAAACCCTAAACCCTAAACCCTAAACCCTGAACCCTGAACCCTGAACCCTGAACCCTGAACCCTGAGTCCTGCCCTGAGGCCCAAAGCCCAAAAATTCCAGAACCGCAAAGATCCCAGAACCCGGCTTTCGGGCCCAAGCCGTGCATTCTCGCTTTAGGGCGTTTAGGGTTCGAGGTTTGGGTGTTTGCGTCGGGGGTTAAGGGGTTCAGTTGTAAAAGAGCCCCCCCCCCCCCCCACCCTTTTCAAGAACAAAAGCGGTTCAGTTGTAAAAGAGGACCCCCCCCCCCCCCCCACCCACCCTTTTCAAGAACAAAAGCTCACAAAGCTGTCACCTCAAATTCTGCGCAGCGACGGACAGGATAGCCGCTTACCTGATTTCGCGCGAGGAGGGGACGAGCCTCAGGCAACGTGTGGCACCTCAGCTGAGCTGATGGTTCAATTTTGGAGTCTGAGTTTCATGCTTCTTTACTCAGAACCCCAGAAGAAATGAATGGTTGGGAATCTGCGGGTTACGAAAATAGGCTACCCCTAAGTTTGTCCCCAAATAGTAGGATTCAATTGTAGCAAGGACCCCAATAAGGTACCCCAACTTTCGTAAACCCCTCCAAAGGCTTCTCCTTTTACCTGTTGTAGTTCTTCCGGACTGAAGCTCTGAGTGTAGTTTCATGGGCCCTCCTTTAGATTGTTCTGATGTATGGACCCTTAATATGTATAGCGTAATAAAGGGGTAGACAAGGGGTACCCTTTTAAGGGCCCATGCTCAGGGACCATGTAGCAAAGCTTAGAGAAGCTGCTCCGCCACAACCCGTGGCAAGGCCCCAGAGGTCATGTGGGGGTTTACGAAGATGAAAGCCGGGGACCCCCAAGAAATAGATCCCTGCATAGTAGGATTCCCTTATAAGGACCCCAAGAAGGTGCACTGAATTTCGGAACCCCCCCCATGTGTGCCTATACCTTTCGCCTGGAACCCTAGACGGCGGAAGCCCTAATCATTAACTCCTGAGCCCGCTCAGCTGCAAACTCCCAATCGCTGAAACCTCGAGAATGACAAGGCACCTTTTTATGTGGTCTCCATCGTGTCAGAAGGTCTATGCCGGCTATGCCCTGTAACCCGTAAACCGTAGCAGGGTTTGGGGGTGTAGACTGGGAGGTGCCAGCACATGGTAGGCTAAGCCCTGCAAACCCCAGAACCCTGCCAAACCGCAGGAGAATGGCGAGGATGTCGAGGTGCTTTGCAGCTGGAGTCCAGTGGAGGTGGACCTTGGGGAGGTTTAGGGCTTAGGGTTTAGGGTTTAAGGGTTTAAGGGTTTAAGGGCTTAAGGGCTTAAGGGCATAAGGGCTTAAGGGCTTAGGGTTTGGGGCCGGCACTTGAGGGACTCGGAAGGATTGTCATTGACCGAGTTACAGTGGGATCCCCAAGTTTCGCCAATGGTGTAAGTCTATAGCGGGCCTAGATTGATCCTGTGCGGTTGTGCAATCCGAGGCTCAGGCAATAAGGCAAAGCCTTTTCCTTAACATAGCCGGGGCTCTGTTAGGAGTATGGACTGGCTCTAAACCTTAAACCACCCCTCAACCCCCCCCCCCAAGAATATAAACCAAAACCTCCAACCTTCGAGTCTAAACCCTAAACCCTAAAGCCTAAACCCTAAACCCTAAACCCGCCGTGGCGCAGGTCTGGTTCAACTTACCTGACGCTTCCCCCGAGTTCAACGACACGCTGACGCTGGAGAATGTTGGTGATGAGGATGCCACTCTGGGCTTAGGAATTTTCAGGGCCGTAGGGCTAGGGGCTAGGGTTAGGGTTTAGGGTTTAGGGTTTAGGGTTTAGGGTTTAGGGTTTAGGGTTTAGGGTTTAGGGTTTAGGGTTTAGGGTTTAGGGTTTAGGGTTAGGTTTAGGGTTTAGGGTTTAGGGTTTAGGGTTTAGGGTTTAGGGTTTAGGGTTTAGGGTTTAGGGTTTAGGGTTTAGGGTTTAGGGTTTAGGGTTTAGGGAGACTTCTAAGCCTTCGACTGTACGTTGTCGGTTTTGGAATTGAATGTGGGAGTGCATGTGATGCCTGCAGTATCCAAACACTTCATGGGGTTTAAGGTTTTTTGTTTAGGGTTTAGGGTTTAGGGTTTAGGGTTTAGGTAGGGTTCATGTTCCAACTCATGTTCCTGCTCACCCAGCGATCGGCACAAATGCCCGACCGTAAGCAGGACATGGCGTGGGTGATGGATGTGATCGACACCAACGTGACATTTGAGCAGGACGCCGGGGATTTCAAGTGAGTAAGATGAGCCCCTCCCCCCCCCCTTTGCATATGCAGAGCTTGCCTAAGCCAAACGCTACACTATACCCGCAACCTCACACCCTAAACCCTAAACCCTAAGCCGCACTTAAGCCCTTGATCCATTCAGGATCCATTTTTCAGTGCGTCCGTGGTGCCGGCACCACCCCCCTTCAGCTCTGGTGGAGCACCGGGGGGCGTCGAGGTGCCAGAAACCGTCAACCAACCCTAAACCCTGTACCCCTCAATCCTCAACTCTTTCTGAGGATTTGGGGTCCGTAAGGTCCTTGGTGCTGGGATTGGGGGTGCGAGGGGGGGGTTGTTGGAGTTTGAAGGGTTCGGGGAGTAAAGTTTGAGAGCGGGCGTTACAGGGCTTATCGGTGGTGGATTGGGTTACGAGTTGTGAGGTCCACCCCTTCAGGGTTGAGGTTTGGCAGTTCTGAATTCCGAAGTTGAGGGGCTTCGAACTCTTGAGGGGTCTGGGGGTATCAGGCACCCCAAACCCGAAACCCGAAACCCTAAACCCTAAACCCTAAACCCTAAACGTAGGAATTTAGGTATTCAGGGCTTCGCATCGGGCTCAGGTTCCTCAAAGAGTCTCGAAGTTGAGCGTGCCCTGTGCTTTTCGTAAGCCTGCCCGAGCCCGAGGCCCTAGTTTGTCAGGAACAGATCAATGGGCCTTCTAAGCCCTGAAGCCTAAAGCACACAGCTTCTGCTCAGGATAACGCCTAGGAACCCTGAATCTGTAAGGCCGCTTGTTTTGTTTCCTCAACGGGGGGTGGGTGGCTTCGATCTTCTGCAGGTTTGGTACAACTTTTCCCTCTTCAATGGCTCAGCACCTCGACCGGCAGCAAGGGCTCAGCGACTTCCTTGTCAGGGCTCCCACCTAAAGTTGACCCAAAAACACCCTGGTGCAGTGGCTCAGCCAGAAAACTCAGGCTGTGCCGTAAACGGGGCCGTCTGCGATTCCTTTGCTCTCGAGCACAGGATTCTCCCCTACGGGTTTGGGGTTTTGGTTTTAGGGTTAGGGCTGGAGCCCTGCTGTGCTCGTGGAGTTGTTGAGACCAACTCAGGAGCTCGACAATGAGGCCGAGCTGATGCCGTTACCCTTCCCTTTTCCTCACTACCTCGAGTACCACGACAGCGCCTTCGTATCTTGCAATGGGGCTTTGATTTTGGACCCTGTCCTGGATGAGATTTGGAATGTCCTCAGAATCTGTTTCCTCCCTTGCCTGTTTCCTCCCCAAAGGGGTCCTTTCGAAGGGGTTCCAGGACCAAGAGGTAGAGAATTTCCCCGATGCGTTTGCGTGCTGAAAGCCTCAGCTGAGGAGATCACCAGGCAGGCGGCCGTCCTCGGCTCCGGCATTGGGCCACACGACGTGGTGGCGGCCATGTGGGCCGACATGACCTGCCCCAAGGAGGTGAACGTGAGTGCCTTCCACTCACGGAGTGCGGACAGCCTTGGGGTAAAAACCGTCGCCATCCGGTAGCTGGTTCGCCTTCATCTAGGGAGGGGGTGGGGGGGGGGGGGTAAACAAGGACGCGTGTTTTTTGGGTTGTTTGGTTGCAGGGCCGTAAGAGCTACGCATGTCTTTGCCTGCGCCTCACAAGAACAACGGAGGTATGAGGGGCTTCTTCTCAAGAGCCCGGCCATTGGACCTTTTGGCTTCGAAGTTTGGCTGCACAGCGATGGTCGGATCCTCCTCTTGCTAGAGGAGTTTCCAGTCGACAATCTGACAGCACTGGCTGGTATCCAGGCGGGGGTTTGCGAACATAAGGGACTCCTAGTATAGACCCCCAAATAGGAGGATTCCCTCATAACAACGACCCCCAATAAGGCACCCCCTAGTTGTGGAAACAACCCCCAGGTCGGGGTGCAGCCAGCAACAGGCGCCAAGGCCCTGAGCGTAGGCGCGAGCCTGCCCTGGTCTTCTGGAGCCCCCTTGGCCGTGGCTGGGTGTCGTTTAGGGTTTGGGGTTTGGGGGTTGGGGTTTGGGGTTTAGGGTTTAGGGTTTGGGGTTACCTACATGCCCATGCCCCTGAGTAAGCTACTCTGGGTCTATAGCCTCTCCTCCACGAAACCTAGCATCATGAAGCTTCGACTCAAGAACACGGGCATCAAGAGCTCCAGTCTTCTTCCGCTTGCTCCCAGGTTTCCCTGACTCCTTGGTTCATGCTGCGGGAGAACGGCAACACCGTGGTTGCCCCCAACCAGTCTCTCACCATCACTTTTGCCTTCGAGCGCCAGGAGCCTTATTTAACTTAGCGGTGGTTCTGGGCGTCTATGGGGTAAGGGTAACTTGCAGGTTTCTGGGGATTAGAAGGTCTAGGCCAGATGTCAAGAAGACTCCTACCCCTGAATCCCGACGACGGTCACTGAAGCCAAATGGTAGCCGCCCATCACTTCCGACCCGAAAGCGACAACCACCTGCTGCTCCCCCCCGTGTGTAGACCTACACCAAAACCGTCTCACATCAGCGCATGGACTCACTTCCCAAACCCTGCAAGCAAAAACACCCCCTAAACCCTAAACCCTAAACCCTAAACCCTAAACCCTAAACCCTAAACCCTAAACCCTAAACCCTAAACCCTAAACCCTAAACCTGCAAACTCTATGAGAAATATCCAAACCCTTACAGCTCGGGGGCCGATGTGAGGCCGACTTGGCAGGGTGGCTGCACTTCTATGCAGAGACTCGGCTCTCGTTCGCGGTGCTTGTGCTCTCTTTCTCTCTCTCGTGCGTGTGTGTGCGTGTGTGCGTGTGTGCGTGTGTGCGTGTGTGCGTGTGCGTGTGCGTGTGCGTGTGCGTGTGCGTGTGCGTGGGCGTGCGCGTGTGCGTGTGCGTGTGCGTGTGCGTGTGCGTGTGCGTGTGCGTGTGCGTGTGCGTGTGCGTGTGCGTGTGCGTGTGCGTGTGCGTGTGCGTGTGCGTGTGCGTGTGCGTGTGTGTGTGGGTGTGTGTGTGTGTGTGTGTGTGTGTGTGGTGTGTGTGTGTGTGTGTGTGTGGTGTGGTGTGTCTGGTGTGTGTGTGTGTGTGTGTGTTCTGTCTGTGTGTGTGTGTGTGTGTGTCTGTCTGTGTCTCTGTGTGTCTCTGTGTGTCTCTGTGTGTCTGTGTGTGTCTGTCTGTGTGTCTCTCTGTGTGTCTCTGTGTGTCTCTGTGTGTCTCTCTGTGTGTCTCTCTGTGTCTCTGTGTGTCTCTGTGTGTCTCTCTGTGTGTCTCTGTGTGTCTCTGTGTGTCTGTGTGTCTCAGTGTGTCTGTGGTCTTGTCTCTGTGTGTCTCTGTGTGTCTTGTGTGTCTCTGTGTGTCTCTGTGTGTCTCTGTGTGTCTCTGTGTGTCTCTGTGTGTCTGTTCTGTGTGTGTCTGTGTGTGTCTGTGTGTGTGTGTGTGTGTGTGTGTGTGTGTGTGTCTGTGTCTGTGTTGTGTGTGTGTGTGTGTGTGTGTGTCTGTGTGGTGTCTGTGTGTGTGTGTGTGTGTGTGTCTGTGTGTGGTCTGTGTGGGTGTCTCTGTGTGTGTCTCTGTGTGTGTGTGTGTGGGTGTCTCTGTGTGTGTCTCTGTGTGGGTGTCTCTGTGTGTGTCTCTGTGTGTCTCTGTGTGTCTCTGTGTGTCTCTGTGTGTCTGTGTGTCTCTGTGTGTCTCTGTGTGTCTCTGTGTGTGTGTCTCTGTGTGTGTCTGTGTGTCTCTGTGTGTGTCTGTGTGTCTCTGTGTGTCTCTGTGTGTCTCTGTGTGTCTCTGTGTGTCTCTGTGTGTCTCTGTGTGTCTCTGTGTGTCTCTGTGTGTCTCTGTGTGTCTCTGTGTGTCTCTGTGTGTGTGTGTGTGTGTGTGTGTCTGTGTCTGTGTCTGTGTCTGTGTCTGTGTCTGTGTGTGTGTGTCGGTGTGGGGGTTAGTTTTAGGGTTTTTGGGGTTTAGGGTGTAGGGGGTAGGATTAAGGGGCGTTCAGGAACATTGAGCTCTTGGTGCTTGGTTTCTTTTCTTTTTTGTTTGGGGGGGGTGGGGGGGGGGAGGGAGAGTCCCCTGTTGCTCCAAGGCTTCCATAGCACTGGCAGACCCTAAGCCCTATGCCCTAAGCCTTTGGGGCACCAAGGAGAAGAGTGTCGGGACATGGCACCCGCGACGCAACGTCCGCTTCACGCAGCGGTTGTTCCGCTACTTGGGGCCGGATGTGGCGTCGAAACCCTTGAACCTGTAAGTGTTGGGATGTTCCCCCTTATACTAACAGTCCTTAATCGGGATTACAATAGGGGGTGCTATCGTCCCGATTAAGTGCTGTTAGTAAAAGGATGAGCAGCCCAGTGTACGTTTTGTTAATCCAGAAACATCCAGGTCCAACACCCCTGAAACAAAATGTACGAATGGGCTTTTCGACATAAAGTCCTACTTACTGTTACTTCACATGATGTGCTTCGACTACTACGCACTGCCACCATTCCTGCAGTTTAATCGACTGCTCGCCTGATTGAGTGCTAGAAGACTTAAGACAGTGACAGCAAGACACTTCGAATGACTACAAAATGTGGGGAAGCGCTTCTTCCGACCACCATAGTGTCAAAACAAGGGAAATTTTCGTCCGACTAGAAAACATAGATCATGCGGTTCTTTTATGCGGCTCAGTGCATCCAAGGCTTCATGTGGGTTCTCAGTGCCTGGGATGGCGGCTTGCACTCGGGCTCTTGTGCGGGCGGCTTCGTGAGACGCAGGAACCGGACATGTGCAGGCAGCGACGGCAGGGAGTACAACGACACCTACTGCATCGGAACATGCATGGACATAGACCCTGTGCAGAACTACGACTATCCTGTGAAGCAGTCGTGGACAGATGGCTACAACAACCAATGTGAGGACTACCATGTCCTTAACTTTTGCACTCCAACCGGGTACGGGGCCAGGTGGCAGAAGTGGTGGGGCTATTTTGCCGACTGGACAACCAGTGGCATGGATGCCGGTGATGCCTGCTGTCTGTGTGGAGGGGGGACTTACACTCCGGAGCTTCCGATCACGGAAGAGAAGTGCCCTTCTGTGAATTGCCCGGCCAACTCGCAGGGAACGAGTGTTCTACACGGCTGCGTGTGTGATGCGGGTTACATGGGGGTCATCAATGCCTCGGATGAGTACCCATACTTCGTGGGCACCTGCGCCACCGTCAGCTGTCCCAAATATTCCTCCGGTTCCCACGTGGCAGCAGGATGCACCTGCGACTACGGCTATCTGGGGACCATTGTCCCAACAAGTTCTGAGCCATTCTATGAGGGAAGATGTGAGGCAACGACCACTACCACCTCTAGCACGTGGACAGAAACCACTTCCACACAGACCATCAGCTCGACCACGACCAGCTTCACAACCACCAGATCCACCACGACTACCTCACACACCACCACCTCTCGCACAACCACCACCAGCTCATCAAGTACAAGCGCCAGCAGCAGCACCACGCAGAGCACACAGACCTTCACCGGTACCACAACCATCTCCCATACCACCACCACCAGCACATCGACTGTAAGCGCCACCAGCAGCACCACACAGAGCTTCACCAGTGCCACAGCCACCTCCACCAGCTCCACTACCCGCACATCGACTGCAAGCACCACCAGCAGCACCACGCACAGCTTCACCAGTACATCCAGCGTAAGCAGTACGCTCTCTAGCATCTCTAGCACATCACTTACTGCTACAACCACAAGCTCCTCTTCACAAACCCGCACTCGCACGACGGCCACGATATGGACCACCACGACCATCACCACAAGCACCAGCAGCTCTAGCAGCACTTCAACGTGGACGAACTCTACGACGATGACCACCGACACCCAAACCACGACTTGGTATCGGAAGTCTCCTGGCACGAGCATCGCGGGCAGCAACGAGTATGCTACCTCAACTCCGTGGGAGGACTCGGATGGTCTGAGTCTCGGCCACAAGAGAATCACCTTTGCCTCCAGTCAAGTTTGGAAGCGCCTGAGAGCTGCCTCTACCTGTGCACATCACAAGCAGTCATACGTCCGCTTCATGAATTCTGTCCTAAACCCGAAACCCTACACCCTAAACCCTAAACCCTGTCTTTTCCATTCGGACAAGAGTGCAGACAAGGAACGACTCCAATGCACAGGGCCCAGTTCGGACATGCAGTGAGCTCACGAGTGCGCTCTACACATCGACCCAGAAATATAAATATAAACACAAATCTACATGTAAAAATGTAAATATCTATATATTATGGTATAAAAACACTAAGAATAAATAGTAAACATATAAAGACATAAGTAAGAAGTATGTAAAATGCATATATGTATATATATGTATATAATTTTAATTAATTTGTATATATATATATACCACTGCAACAACCACCGAATCCAGGCATCCGCCACGAGCATCACCGAAACGACGACCTACAAAGGAGGCGTCCCCTCAAAAGAAATAAAAGGGCAGGTTTCGGGTCCACCTCAAGAACGCAAGCCAACTTTCCACAACAGCTTATCACTAGAACTAACACATCGATTCGGTTCTGTATTCAAACATGATGATGATGACTGTCAAAAAATGGGTGTGGGGTTCTTAAGGTAGGGTCGACTCTCGATACTAGTTTGGGAGGGTTAGAGGGCTTCGGGCTTAGGGCTTACAGCTTTTTTAGTTTGGGGTGTCAAGCCCACCCTAAACCCTAATTAAGCCTAAACCCTGAACCCATGAAAGCTTCTCTCAGAATTTGTTTCTTAATTTGTCGATATCCGTATGCGAGCATAAAGTTTGAGGCATTTGAATGTTGTTTAACATCAAAACTTGTAACACGAATCAATCATGTTGCTGTCATCATCAACTATATACATTTCCCGCTGGCAATAAATAAACATTACCCACTATTTTCCATTCAGTTTATGTCAAAATATTCATCCATCATTTCAAAGAAGTAATTGGAATATGTAGTCAGCATCGCAACCAATTGGTCAACTCAACAATTGGCATCAACAATCATATCAGCAGCAATATCGATACACAGAACTGCCCAGTCCTTCCATCATCGACAGGAGCCTCCGGGGTGCAATTCGGCGGAACAGGCCAGGGTGCTTCTTGGGCTTAGGGCTCTTTATACCTTACTATTGTTACTGTTTTTTTTTGGGGGGGGCCAAGCGTTAGGGTTTGGAGATTCAGGGTTGAGAGGTTTTGCAGACCTAGGGTTTAAGGCCCCCTAGACTCATAAGTTGGGATGTTCAGCCTTACACTAACAGTCCTTCGCAGGGATTCTAGTACCCCCCAAGCGCTAGGAATCCAGCCGATTTGGAGCAGCTCCCTCTGACCAACTCTCCGAGCAGCCTTGTAGGGTTCCGACGCCCGAACGTTTTAGGGTTTAGGGTCTAGGGTTTAGGGTTTAGGGTTTAGGGTTGAGGCCGGCATTGTAGAAGCAATTAAAGGGGGGGGGGGCTGGTGCTAAGACTCACGAGCTCGACATGGGTTCATGAAACTTGGAGAACCCCCCGTGTGACACAGACTCTTAAACCCTCGAATGCTGATTCCTCCAACCTGAAACCCTAAAGCCCTATCTAAACTCTGCTCCAAACCCTCGACTGAAACCTAGACCCTCTAGCTAACCCTCAACCCTAAACCCAAGAAGCTTGAAGCCGTACATTAGGGGACCTTTCCGTGTCCTCGACGCTCTTTCCCGTGTTTGTGATGCTCCTCCTGGTCCTCACTGTCGCGGCCCTAAACCCCACACCCTGCGGTTTTTGGGATCCAGGGTTCGGGCTTGAGGGTGTGTTTACGCGGGCTTAGGACTTGGGGCTCAAAGGACCCGAATCCTGGGACTTCAGGGATATTTCGGGCTCTTCTGGCGTCTTCGGGAGCTTCAATAGGATTCAGGGAAGAAGTAGGGTTTAGGGTTTAGGGTTTAGGGTTTAGGGTACAGAAAAGAGTCGAGATGGGTTGGGGGGCACTAGGGTACTGTAGGAGGGAAAGCGGATCCTGGCTGATTTGTATGTCTTTCTAGATAGCCCCGCCTCTTGCCGAAGTGAACATCAGGGTTGCTATCTGCAGAAACGAAGAATAACATGGAAGGCATACATAAACCCTACAACCCAAACCCTAAACCCATGTAAACCCATGTAAACCTCCAACACTGACATAATTTGCACGGCACGCAGCACCTCGACACCTTTGCAGACACCCCCGAACAGTTGCCACCAAGACCCAGAGTCTGAAACTCTCCCCTAAACCCGAAACCCGAAACCCTAAACAAGATTCAACTCTCCCTCCTGAAGAACAAAGCCGGCCCTACCGTGGATGCAACACGCAATGCTGCTATTTTGTGACAAAGGAGGGTTTAGGGTTTAGGGTTTAGGGTTTAGGGTTTAGGGTGTAGAGTGTAGGGTTTAGGGTTAGGACTTCTGCGATGCAGCCATGTGGGGTGTGTTGCTTGAAGTCATGTACTCAAGGAAGCAAGCAGTCTTTGGCTCTTTAACCCCACACGCCGTTGACCCCTTTGGCTTAGGGTTTAGGGTTAAGGGTTTAGGGTTTGGGGTTTAGGGTTTATAGGGCTTAGGGTAACCCAGAATCCCTAAGCCCTAAACTTACTTGAGGCCTGCGTTGGCGCGGTGGTGTACAAGCTTTGGAAGAACCGGCAGAGCCTACGGAAGCTCCGCCCCAAGGCAATGCCTGGGGACGGGAAAGGAGAGTCTCAGCGAGTGACTGGTGCTTAGGGTCTAAGGGTACTTACATGGGCCCATAATGTGGTCCCTCAAGCGCCCATATGAAGGGGCTGAAAACTACCCTTTGAGTCCCTTTGATAGAATTTTAGGGCTCAGGAAGCATACATTCTCGGGAGTTCACAAGCCAGTGCACCAACTTTGGGGTCAACTTTTAGGCCTGCAGCCGCTGAACACCCACTGACATGTCCAAAAGACTTACGCTGAACCCCTAGGTTTGGAAGCCCTAAGCCCTAAACTCTAAACCCTAAACCGGGTTCCCGGCATGGTTGGTTCAGCCTCAAAATGAACTGCAAAAGCCCAAACCCTGAGCCGGTTCTTGGGGTTTGAACTAGAATTTTTAGGAGCTGAAAAACTTATGGAAAGTTCACGGTTTGGCTTTAAAAAGGGTTTTTGGAACCCCAACCCAAGACGTTTTTTTGCAAGAGGCCGCCGAAGAGAAAGGCGGCACGAAAGCGCCCTCCATGGTGGTCCCGGAGATGCCGGACCAGCAGGATACTTCAGGGCTTGGGGGGGGGGGGGGGGTTCAGGCATGTTGTCAAATTCATGGGTAGTATATGACTAATATTGGCATTATATCTTTTATATTACTACTATTATTACAATTATTGAGATCGTTAGTATGTTAATTATTAATTATTATTGTTATGGGTAGGTGTAACCAGCCCATGGCCCTGGAATTGTTGAAGAGATGAGTTCGTTGTGCTCCCTTGCCCGTTAACCAGGACCTTTGGCAAAGGCGGCTGCTGCTTGCAGGAGGGAGTGTGCCCCAGCAGCAGGGATGCCAAAAGAGCGTTTGTGGGCCTGTTTAGGGTTTAGGGTTTAGGGTTTAGGGGGGTAGTCCTGAGGAACCTAGAATCTTCTGCTATAGGAAGCTGAGCGGGAACACTCTGAAAGTCGACGTTGTGAATCATGTCCCGAGGCTGAGGACCTGGACCAGAGCCACGCAAGGTTGGAAGTGAAGGTCGTGCCGGCTGCCATGGAAGTGAGCAAGACGGCGGCCACGGTGTACCTGGACTTGGTTGACCAGCTCTTGGAGGTTTTCGCATCCCATCGCTGGGGCCAGGATTCTCCCCAGCGCCTGGAGCGTCAGCTGGCAGAACGGCGGGTGCAGTGGCGCACAGCCTCCATGTGCCTTGTGAGCATGGAGGAGCATCCCAAACTCCAGCACTGCGCGGAGCAGGCGCAGGTTTTGCTCCTCCAAGAGGGCCCTCGGAGCAGCGCGCCGGCCTTGCGCCGGGCATTGGAGGCTCTTTGGACCCAAGCAGACCGGCCCACGCCGGCCGAGGAGACCGTGGAGTGGACCAGGCACCCAAAGCTGTGTCGCGGCAGGGTTTTGGGACATTTCATATTTTCCTTCCCTTCGTGGGTTTGAGAGGATCATATTCAGAGATGTTGGTCAGAAGGTTCTAAGGGGCCATCCAAGGTGTCGGCTGGGTGAGCAGCTCCTCTTGGACTTGGGGAATGCGCGGCAAGAAGGTGCACCAGGCGAGCGTGAAGGTCTGTCCGAGGCCCTCTGGGGCATCACGGAGGCGTGGTGCCGCAATTCTGCACAGGAGCTCCGCATGTCGGGAGTCAGATAGGGGTCGGAATAAATACGAATAGTATTCCCTTAGGGTCCCTTTGTGGTTATACTAGAATAGCCCACCACAACCCTATTCTAATTATTCAAGCCCCTCTACTCGAGGGGACTAGGTCGTGAAGATTGCATCTGTGGGGCTTAGCAGAGTTGGAGAGGCTATAAACACTGGTCCGAAAATATTTTCCATAGGGTTTAGGGTTTAGGGTTTAGGGTTCAGGGTTTAGGGTTTAGGGTGTAGGGCTTAGGGTTTAGGGTTTAGGGTTTAGGCTTCGAAGAGGCGTAAGGGGCTTGGGGTGGAGGTATTAGGAGCTCAGGGGCTCAGGGGAGGGTTTCGGGTTCAAGCCTTGGGCTGATCCTCGCGCCCTCAGCGCTAATTTAGCTGCATCCTGCAGACCCTTACTTTTGGGGGTTTCGGGTTCAGGGTTTAGGGTTTAGGGTTTAGGGTTTAGGGTTCAGGGTTTAGGGTTTAGGGTTTAGGGTTTAGGGTTTAGGGTTTAGGGTTTAGGGTGGGTTTAGGGTTTCGGGAAGCCCTTACTTTTAGGGGGCCTATGGGCTCGATTTTGGATTTTCGGGCCTGCGGCTCCAGCCTTCGAACGCCAAAAAGCCTAAATTACCACCCCCTCAACAGAGCCCAAGACAGTAAAGACATTACACAACCTTAAGCCTGAATAATTCCAAACCCTAAGCCCTAAACCCTAAACCCTAAACCCTAAGCCCTAAACCCTAAACCTTAAAGCACAAACGCCTTCTAAGCTGGTAACAGGAGCTGGTTGCTGAACCACTGGCTACAGATTCGCTCCTGCAGGAGATGTCCTCCCAGGCTCGGGGAAGTTTGACAGCTACGGGCCCGAACCCCAAGTACTGTAAGCAAACTTAAACTCATGTACATCCCAAGCCCTGAGATAAACCCTGGATCACAAACCTGAAGCAAACACTAAACCCAGTAATCCGACACCCCAAAGCCTGAAGGAAACCCTCAACCCCCCCCCCAAATGCTGAAAGCTGCGTAGTAAACTGCCCGACTCATTGACTCATTGAGTATACCCGTCAAGAAGCCCAAAGAACTCCCGGGTGAAGCCCGCACTTGTCGCGAACCCCTGCGCCAAGTAATCACAGCGGGTCCCAGATTTCTTGGCTGTTTTTCGTGCTCCCGCGGCTTGAGGTGTGGGGTTTGTGGGTCTAGGTTTCCGTGCACACGAGCCTTGACGAAGCTGCAGCTCCTTTGTCATCCAGCAGGGGATAGTGCAGCTGTCCAACTTGAAAGACCCGCAGAAGCCCAAAAGCTCGGAAGGGAGTTGGCCTGGCAACGTGACGCATGTGTAGCTCATCTCCCGCAGTAAAGGACCTGAAGGATATCGGATAGCCTTCCCGCCATGCATTATCCTGAAGCAATGGAGCTGCCCGATGATATGGAGGGCATGCTGGCGCTGCTGGAGCGCATGGGGCCGGACAGCGAAGATGGCGAGGGTTCGACTTCGCTCCACGATACAGGCCCATCGTTCCAGGTCCGCGTGTCCAGTATGGACTCGCTTTTGTGTACCGTGACAGCTTACGGTGGGTGGTCTTCGCACCGGTTGAAGATGGCAGTCCAGGCCAACAGCTCGTGGTCGGAACATCGGCAGCGTTTGTTTTATGGCACGCAAGAGCTGTGTGGGGTTTTGCTCCAGGCCAGCAGGCACCCTGACAAGCTGTCAGACTTGCTCAATGACCCGTGCGAAGGTGCCGTCATCAACATCACAGCAGTGAGCCGGACAACAGCACAAGAAGAATTTCTGGAGGCGCTGGCCGGCATGCTGTGCGATGGGGACGTGTCTGACCTGGTACAGCAGGCACCGGCCGAGGTGCGTGGTGACAGGTATTGCATGTTGGCAGTCGTCGCGTGGAACTACAACTATCCTGACCTGGAGTTCGCAAGCGAAGAGTTGAGGACAGACAGGGAGTTCATCCTGCAGTGCGTCACCATTTATGCCAGATGCTTGTGGAGCATCGGGCAGAACTTAGTTGGCGACCGGGCCTTCATGGAAGAAGCGATCCGGCGATCACCATCTGCCTTGGCATATGCGACCGACGACCTCAAGGACGATGAAGCTCTCGTGCGATTGGCGGTCAGCAGTTCACCTGCCGCCTTAGTTGGTGCAGCCCCACGATTCAAAGACATGAAGGAGCTTGTCCTTCCATGCGTCACTGCACACGGCTACAGCCTGCGTGACATGAGCGATCGCATGAGAGCGGACCGCGAAGTGGTGCTCGCGGCGTTGTGCAATCAACCGGCAGTGCTTGAGTATGCCTCGCTCGCGCTGAAGGCAGACACCAGTGTCGTCGACTTTGCCTTAAGGCACTGTGCAATGGAGTGGCAGCGGCAAAAAGTGCAGGAAGAGGCCGCCACGGCGCGAGCCTGAAGGGCTCGAAGCTGAAGGGCTCGAAGCCAATTTTGCCAACGAAGGCAACACAAGGGTGTAGCCTCCGGTCTTTACGTGAAGTATGGTTTCCAGGCACCTTAGCCGTAGCATCTGCGAAGGCAGATCCGTGGGAAGATGAGCTGCAGCATAGCCCTAAACCCCTAAACCCCTGAACCCTAAACACCCAAACCCTTAGGCCCCTAAACCCTACACCCTATATAAACTGCAGCCAGATTTCCACAGGCCGCATCGGCTAAGCGCCTTTTTTGCGGCTGGAAGCCGGGCCCGTTGTTCTACACGCTCCGCATGTCGGGAGTAAACATAGGGGTCGGAATAAATACCAATAGTATTCCCTTAGGGTCCCTTTGTAGTTCTACTAGTACAACCCACCAAAACCCTCTTCGAATTATTCAAGCACCTATATTAGAGTCTGTACTACGCGTGGTCGTGAAGATAGCATCTGTGGGGGCTTCGCAGAGTTTGAGAGGTTATGAACACTGGTCCGAAAATATTTTTCATAGGGTTTAGGGTTTAGGGTTTAGGGTTTGGGGGTTTGGGGGTTTGGGGGTTTGGGGGTTTGGGGGTTTGGGGGTTTGGGGGTTTAGGGTTTAGGGTTTAGGGTTTAGGGAGGGCTTCGAAGAGGCGTAAGGGGCTTGGGGTGGAGGGATTAGGAGCTCAGGGGCTCAGGGGCTCAGGGGTTCCAGGGTTTCGGGTTCGAGGCTTGGGCTGATTCTCGTGCCCTCAAGGCTAGAATTCTGAAGCCCTTACTTTTAGGGGTTTCGGTTTTATGGTTTAGGGTTTTTTGGAAGCCCTTACTTTTCGGGGGGCTATGGGCTCGATTTCGGGCCCTAAGTCTTCAGTAAGCAAACCTTCACCTATGTACATCCTGAGATAAACCCTGGATAGCAAACACTGAACCAAGGAATCCCAACCCTTAAGGCTGAAGTAAACCCTCAACCCCCAGGAAGTCCTGCAACCCTCAAACTGCCCGAATCATTGAGCATACTTGTCAAGAAGCCCAAAGCACTCCCGGGTAAAGCCCGCACTTGTCGCGAACCCCTGCGCCAAGTAATCACAGGGGGTCCCAGATTTCTTGACTGTTTTTCGTGCTCCCGCGGCTTGAGGTGTGGGGTTTGTGGGTCTAGGGCTCCGTGCACACGAGCCTTGACGAAGTTGCAGCTCCTTTGCCATGCAGCAGGGGATAGCGCAGCTGTCCAAATTGAAAGACCCGCAGAAGCCCAAAAGCTCGGAAGGGAGTTGGCCTGGCAACGTGACGCATGTGTTTTTGCAAGTCTGCCCCGAAGTTGATGTAGCTGATCTTCCGCACTAAAGGACCTGAAGAATCATCTTCCCACCATTCTTATGCATTATCCTGACGGTCCTGACGCAATGGCGTTGCCCGATGACTCGATGGAGGGCATGGGGTCAGGCAGCGAAGATGGCGAGGGTTCGACTTCGCTCCGCAATACAGGCCCATCGTTCCAGGTCCACGTGTCCAGTATGGACTCGCTTTTGTGTACCGTGACAGCTTACGGTGGGTGGTCTTCGCACCGGTTGAAGATGGCAGTCCAGGCCAACAGCTCGTGGTCGGAACATCGGCAGCGTTTGTTTTATGGCACGCAAGAGCTGTGTGGGGTTTTGCTCCAGGCCAGCAGGCACCCTGACAAGCTGTCAGACTTGCTCAATGACCCGTGCGAAGGTGCCGTCATCAACATCACAGCAGTGAGCCGGACAACAGCACAAGAAGAATTTCTGGAGGCGCTGGCCGGCATGCTGTGCGATGGGGACGTGTCTGACCTGGTACAGCAGGCACCGGCCGAGGTGCGTGGTGACAGGTATTGCATGTTGGCAGTCGTCGCGTGGAACTACAACTATCCTGACCTGGAGTTCGCAAGCGAAGAGTTGAGGACAGACAGGGAGTTCATCCTGCAGTGCGTCACCATTTATGCCAGATGCTTGTGGAGCATCGGGCAGAACTTAGTTGGCGACCGGGCCTTCATGGAAGAAGCGATCCGGCGATCACCATCTGCCTTGGCATATGCGACCGACGACCTCAAGGACGATGAAGCTCTCGTGCGATTGGCGGTCAGCAGTTCACCTGCCGCCTTAGTTGGTGCAGCCCCACGATTCAAAGACATGAAGGAGCTTGTCCTTCCATGCGTCACTGCACACGGCTACAGCCTGCGTGACATGAGCGATCGCATGAGAGCGGACCGCGAAGTGGTGCTCGCGGCGTTGTGCAATCAACCGGCAGTGCTTGAGTATGCCTCGCTCGCGCTGAAGGCAGACACCAGTGTCGTCGACTTTGCCTTAAGGCACTGTGTAATGGAGTGGCAGCGGCAAAAAGTGCAGGAAGAGGCCGCCGCGGCGCGAGCCTAAAGGGCTCGAAGCTGAAGGGCTCGAAGCCAATTTTGCCAACGAAGGCAACACAAGGGTGTAGCCTCCGGTCTTTACGTGAAGTATGGCTTCCAGGCACCTTAGCCGTAGCATCTGCGAAGGTAGATCCACGGGAAGATGAGCTGCAGCATAAACTGCAGCCAGATTTCCACAAGGCCACATCGGAGAAGCGCCTTTTTGCGGGCGGAAGCCGGGCCAGAGAGCGAAGATGATCGCCTCAAAATGCACACCCATTGACCTCAAAGCCCAGAATTTCTAAAGCCCTAAACCCTAAACCCTCAAGACCCAAGAGAACGTAGAATTCGTCAATCCAATCATTCATCCCAGCCGCAGCCGCTTTCTAGATTCTCGGGGTAAACCAAGTGGGCCGAGGGGTTTTCGGCGACATTTGGGGCTTCGTGCCCGGGGGTCGGAAGCTGAGCACTTCCTCCTCTCCTCCAAGAACGCCGCTCTCTCTAGAGCGAAGTGGTGGTAGCTATCGCGCGGGGGGCGGAGGGGTGGGGGGGGGGGGGGAAGCGGCCAAACCCTAAACCCTAAACCTTAAACCCCAAACCCCGCAGTAGAGGATCCCACCTGATGCCATATGGGGCTTCCAACCGCGACGTTGCAGGCTGCCAGGCTCTTCCTCAAGGAGGCCTTTTTGGGGTTTTTTGGGGTTTACAGGGTTTCGGGCTTGTCGGGGGTCTGCTTTGGAGATGAAAGGTTACGGGTTGAGGATGCAAGCATCGGTAGCGCAGACGGGTTTTTGGTTTAGGCGACTGTTGCGTTTGAGGTGCACAAGTGTTGAAGTCTCTGTAGACCCAAGGATACAGACCTGAGTATGTGCGGTCTTCCACCAATCCATGAGGCTGCGGATTTAGGTTTTCGGGGCTAACGAGTTTAGGGTTGAGGGTTTTTGTTGAGGTGTTTAGCGATCAGGGCTTTCATTTTGGGGGTTTTGGGCCTTGAACCCTAACCCCTAAACCCTAAACCCTATAAACAATAAACAATAAACCCTAAACCGTAAACCCTAAGCCCTAAACCCTAAACCCTACACCCTACACCCTAAACCCGCCCAAAGTTTTCCAGGACCGGCACCCACCGGAGAACGCGGTGCGGAGGCTGTGGAAGGAACTCCTGGACTCGGCCGAGGCCGAAAAAAGTGGGGAGGGGCCTAGGGCGGTTTAGGGTTTAGGGTTTAGGGTGTAGGGTGTAGGGTTCAGGGTTTAGGGTTTAGGGTTTTGGGTTTTGGGTTTGGGTTTAGGGTTTAGGGTTTAGAACACCAATGTTATGCCCGAATCGGATTTAAATTTCTTAGGGTTTATACAACTCTCGAAAAAGCCATAGAGACACCCCACTTGTTGTAGGTTTTGTTGGGGTTGGCCCCCAAGCCCCCCCCCCCTCCCCTTAAGGGTATAGGGAATAGGGTTTAGGGTGGTTTAGGGTTGTAGGGCCAGCTTGTAGGAAAGCCATTCAAGAGAAGAGATACGTGGAGTGGCCCCTGCAAAAAACGGGGTCCTTAAATGGGGGTTTACGAGTTTAGGGGAACCCTAGAATAGACCCCCACATAGTAGGATACCCTAAACCCTTTTCTTAAGGACCCCAAGAAGGTACCCCTAATATCCTAAACCCCAAACCCTAAACCCTTAACCCTTGACCCTTAAACCCTAAACCCTAAACCCTAAACCCCCATATCCGTCCTGGAAGCCTCCTTCAGCCCCTGAACCTGAAGCCTTGCACCTTGGGAAGCGTCTGGCTTGACGTGAGGAGCGCCAACGTCGGACTCCAGCTGCCCTTCCCCAGGCAAGGGTTAGGGTGTAGGGTTTAGGGTTTAGGGTTTAGGGTTTAGGGTGTAGGGTTTAGGGTTTAGGGTTTAGGGTTTAGGGTTTAGGGTTTAAGGTTATAGCTTGTAATCTTGAAGAGTCTCCCTCTTTCAGGGCGAAGGTACTCACGTACCACCTGCAGCCCAGCCCTACGATCGGTTGGTGTTCCAGTATCTGTTCGGGTTTTAGTCTCAGCAACTCTTGCACAGCCTTTTGAAAACAGACGATCCAATCCTTAGGGTTTAGGGTGTAGGGTTTAGGGTTTAGGGTTTAGGGTTTAGGGATTTAGGGTTAAGGTAAACCCTAAACCCTAAGCCCTAAGCCCTAAACCCTAAACCCTAAACCCTAAACCCTAAACCCTAAACCCTAAACCCTAAACCCTAAACCCTAAACCCTAAACCCTAAACCCTAAACCCTAGCCTACAGCCCTAAAGCCCTGCAGGTGGTCCCTGCCCCGGAGGAGGCCGAAGCGCCGAGCAGCGACGAGGAGCCGCTGCTGGAAAGCTACATGCGCCCCTGAACACATAGGGTTTAGGGTTTGGGGTTTAGGGTTTAGGGTTTAGGGTTTAGGGTTTAGGGCCTAGGGCTTGGGGTTTGGGGTTTAGGGTTTAGGGTTTAGTTTTGGGGTTTAGGGTTTAGGGCTAGGGTCTAGGGGTTAGGGGTTACGGGTTTAGGGTTCAGGGTTAAGGGGGTTAAGGGCTTAGCACTTCGGGCTTTTGGGTTTTCTTTTTGGGCTTTTGGCTTAGGGCGTAGGGTTTAGGGCTTATAGGGTTTACGGTTTGGGCGGCTCTTTTTGGAGGC